GCCGATCCGCTCGAGCGCGACGTCCTCTGTGAGGTCGGTGCCGGACTCCTCGTCGCGCAGCTGGCCGTAATGCTGGATCTGCTCGCAGGTCGCCTGGACCTTGGCGACCCCGAGCGCGGCGGACGAGCCCTTGAGGAAGTGGCCGAGCGACGACAGCTTCGCGAGGTCCTTCTTTGTGCTGGGCGGGCGGGCGGTTAGTCGCGCGACGAGCGCAGGCAGGCAGGAGGGCGGCGCACTATGCCTCGTCCATCTCGGTGAAGGTCGTGCTGGCCTGGGTGAAGTACGCCCAGGCCATGCCCTTGGAGAAGTCGTGCGTGTCGTCCTCGTCGAGATCGAGGATCTGGTGGAACGTCTCGATATCGATCGTCTCGGACGGGTCGGCCTGGGGGCAGGGGACATGAGTGAGGCATGAGTCAGCAGGCGCGGGCGACGGCGCGCGCACGCACCTCGGCATCGTCGTCATCGGGCGCGGGCGCGGGGGTTGCGGGCGCTGCAGGCGTTGCGGCGGCGTCGACGGCGGGCGTGGGGTCGCGCGAGGGCGCGAGGGACGCCTGGCGCGCGGGGGCGTCGCTGGGCGGGCGTTGGGGCGCGGGCGACCTCTCGACGACGGGCGAGGGCGAGCGGGGGCTGGGATGCTCTGATGCAGCGCGGGGCACGTCCTTGAGTGCGGCGGCGGCGGCCATGGAGGGACAGACGGTGGTGGGAGGAGGAGAGAGAGAGCGATAATCGTCGCCGAGGCGTGCCGGGATGTCCCCGCCAGTCCGCACCGCGTCCTCTCTCCACTTTTCTTTTTTCCTGCCGTCGGGTGCAGTCTCAGCTGTGTTGATGTGCTCCACGCCCTTGTGTTCGCTTTGCCCCTCCTGCGAACTCTGTACTGTACAATTTATCGTCGCGGAGGCCGTCATCGATGAATGCGGGAGCGAGCAAGCGCCCCCCGTCCGCATCCGTCTGAGCTCTCCCACATTGCGCGCGTGCATTTCTGGGAAGCGTGCACGTTGGTGCGGCCTTCATATCAACGTTCACTAAGCGTTTCTGGATACATGCAGGTTGCACGATGAGTTTGTACAGTCTGTGGGGATTAGTAGAGCTTATCTATTTTACAAGTACTTAACTGCAGTCGCGTGCGTGATGAGGCACCGATCGGCGATCAAGATCCAACTATCCCAAACAGGATCGTATACACAATGCGCTCTGCAGCCACAGTAAGTATGCACTGCGCCCACAGAGTGAAATAATATTCTTCAATCACATCGCTAAGAATGCGCTAGAAATATCGTCGCATGACTCAACGCCTCACCCATCACCCACCCTCGTCGGGGTACTCAGCTGCGTCTCCGACCACCGGGATATCCTTTCCTGACCACAGTGCATGGGCACCGCCACCATAAAAGCGGGCGGGGCTAACGGTGAATCAACATAGCTTCTACTGCTTCTCTATAACACTCGTGCCCTAAATTGTATCCCTCCCCCCCGTCACACAGATGCCTTCTTACGCTGTCGCCGGTGCGTCGCGCGGCCTCGGGGTAAGCACCCACAGTCAGCCTCTGTCAGGTCACTCACCGCGGCCTAGCTCGAATTTGTCAAGCAATTGCTCTCGAAGGGCAACACGGTCATCGCCCTTGTGCGCACCCCGGCCACGGCCCACGGCCTCCACGCCATCCACGATGCGAACCTCCACATCGTGAAAGCAGACATCGCTGACCCCGCTTCCCTCAAGGTGCGCACGGCAGTCTACACGCCCACCCCACCCACTGCAGCCATGCTGACGCTCTGTCTTCATTGCGCAGACCGCGGCCGAGGAGACGGCCAAGATCACAGGCGGCTCCCTGGACGTGCTCATCAACAACGGCGTCTTCCAGGACCCGAAACACGCCTTCCACGACATCCTCACGTTGTACGCCTCTCATATTACGTTCCCCGGTCTCTGCATCTGAATCGCTCACGGCGTCTCACCGCAGCCCTGACGAGCAGACCCTCACCGAGAACTTCAACGCCAGCTGGTCCACGAACGTCCTGGGGCCCATCTACACCGTCAACGCGTTCCTCCCGCTGCTCCGGAATGGCGCACTGAAGAAGGTCCTCACCCTGTCCACGGGCCTCGCCGACCCCGCGCTCAACCTGGACGCCGAGTTCGGCTACCACGTCGCCTACTGCGTCTCCAAGTGCGCGCTGGAGATGGTCAACGTGAAGTACGCAGGTACGCACCGCGCGTGGCGCTGCTGGACGCGTGTCTGCCACCCCCCGCTCACCCGCCCGACACAGTCGCGCTGCGTAAGGAGGGCTTCATCTTCCTCGCCATCAGCCCCGGCGTCGTGAACACCGCCGAGGCACCCCGTGAGTTGTTTGCCTCGACACGCGCACGCCGAGTGCGGCTGACGTTATGCATCATGCAGCGCCGCCGGAGGTCCTCCCCAAGATCCTAGAGCAGGCCGCGGCGTTCCAGAAGGTGTACCCGCACTGGACAGGCCCCATCCAGCCGCCCGAGTCCGTCGAGAAGATGCTCGCCGTTCTCGACGGCGTCAAGCCGGAGGACAGCGGGAAGTTCGTGAGCCATCTGGTGCGTCGTGCTTTGCCTTTTCTCTCCCGAGCTAGGCTGAAGAGTGCGAACTTTGTCCGAACAGGGTTCGAGGCAGTGGCTGTGAGCTGCAGGGCGAGATTTGCCGGAGCGGTCGGTGCAGGTCTGAGTGGAGTATCTCGATCATCCTGTACGTTGGTAGACGTCGCTCTATCCCAGTGCCGTGTGGGTAGTGTCAAAGTGAACAAACGGCTACACTTTTGATGCACTTCGCCACTGTTTCATTCAGTAACGGCGCAAAAATGAGTGCATACGCATGATGCGTGCCGCAATACTGGTTATGCCGATCGCACCTGTCCAGTGCCAGTGGCGAACCTGATCTGAACACGCCCGAGCAGACTCATCATGACTCGGTACTATATGGTGTTTTGTGTCCATCGAACCGCGGTCGTATTCGCTACATTCGAGATGACCTGTTGACTCGCCGAGAGTGATCTTTACGGCTCATTTTCACTGTAAAACAGTGGTTCCGTTCCTATCCGCTGTTTACTAGTCAAATGTTGGTCAACCGCAACGAGGCATTGTAGATGTAGAGGTTTCTCGGTTGCGCGGTTGCGCGATCCCCGGTGTCCCTCAAAGTTGGGCGATTTGAGTACTGTGCCAGGCGATTTATCGCTCGGACGCGCCTTGGCTCATGATGTAATCTTGAAGCACAGCTGTCGTCTTAGGGCTTCCCTGCCGGATGCTCCCTTTCTCTGGATCATCATGCTCTCTGCTAAGAAATTCAGGATAGTCCACATCAGTCTGAGAACAACTCGAAATTTGTCATGCGGCAATCATACAGTATACTCTGCCGGGTTACAAGCGGTCTCCAGCGACAACTTGAGAGGCGGACACGTCCCACTCAAGGTTACCGAGATAGGCGTTCCAAGGCATCGACGACTCTGCACATGTCTCCCTTCCGAGGGACGCCTTTGGCGAGGACGACAGCATTATGTACAAGACGGTTGCGTCTGCAGAGGCCGTCGTCCGCATACAACTAAGAAGCCGTCTTTGAAGCGCTCCATAACAGTGATGGATCCTCCTGCCTATCGGCCGGAGTTAAGAGACTGACCATCGCTTGCAAATCGCTCGCCGCAGCCTAAATTCGATGACACTACCATCCTACCGAACGCGAACTTCGGCCCGGTACTGTGAGCCCCTCGCAGCACGGTTAAGTGTATGTACAACCTTTGCAAAGACAACGCTTAGCAAGACAGTACCTCCGCGTAAGTGCTTCAAATCACTATTAATTGCCCGTCCTCAATGAATACCGATTTCCGTGACGACGCCAAGTTACATTTATTCGCTCTGACTGAGCCTTCTCCATGCGGCTAGCGCCTCTGGGCAGCAGTTGGGCCTCTGCGGCCGATCCAAGGCTATCTCGGGTGTCTCGGGATAATAACCGAGGTATCACGTATGAGCGTGTCCCCAAAACGCACAACGATCAATCTGACGTAGCATAATACCGAAGAGCGGCAAGCCGGGGTCTGCAAACATTACTGTGGATTATCATTTTGCAAAGCACTTTGATGCCTGCGCCGATCTGCTCATACAGGTGAGATGTTTACCGTTCTACTACCTGGGAAGAATTCTCAATGAGCCTGGCAACCTGTGTACCAAAATGCGAGTTGTAGAGGGATGCCGGCTAGAAGCGACCAAATTGCAGTGGTTTTGCAAACTCACACAGATCACGGCGGAAAGTTTAAACTCCACCGCGGCAGGGCTTGCAGAGTATCGGAGATTCAGCAGCAAAACGCCATCGCGCGAGAACTCATGACGTTCGCAGGCCATTAGCAAGCCCGATGTGTATGCCGATCGCTGATCAAGCAGCAGTCTTCTTGAAAGCCGCGGGCACCTATATATACAACAATGGTTGGGAGTGAAGAAAATAACAAGAACACTACGTCTCTCACACCACCTTGGAATACTTCATCATGCCTAGCATACCGCCCCAATCGCTCATTGTCGTCACCGGCATCACAGGCTACATCGCGAGCCACGTTGGACTCGCAGCACTCCAGGCCGGACATCGCGTACGCGGAACCGTGCGCGACCTTAAACGTGCTGAAGAGCTCAGGAACGCGTATGCGAAACAAGGCGTCGACATCACCAAGCTCGAGTTCATCGTCGTAGACGACATCACCAGTGGTACACAGCTAGCAAACGCAATCAAGGGTGTGGACGGCGTCGCCCATGTCGCCTTGCCGGGCGACCTCCTCGACACCTCGGACGACATGCCGCATCGTGCGGTCAAGGCAGTTGTCGCACTGCTCCAAGCCTCCGCAAATGAACCGTCTATAAAGCGTATTGTGTTCACCTCTAGCTCGGTCGCGAGCTACGAGCCACCGGCCCTCTTCCCAGAGCCGGTAACGGATAAGAATTGGAACGATGTGGCTTTCCAGGCCTGGGAGAACGCCACAGCAGAGGACAAGACGAAGCCTGCGTGGGTCTGGATACGTTACGCAGCCACAAAGATCCTGTCTGAGAAGGCAGCGTGGAAATGGGTGGAGGAGAACAAGGTACGCACTCTGCTCATTGCTCTTCATCAGCCCGCGTATACCGTGTTATCACAGCCACCCTTCGACATTGTGACTATTCTGCCAAATGCAAACTTCGGACCTGTTCTTTACGGTGGTGCTCGTTCGACCGTTGCCTGGATCCACTCCTTCCTGAAAGGCGATAATGAGTTTACACAACTTGTCGGACCTCGTGAGTATCCATGCACACCATCTATGGGCAGCTGATCATAAGTGCACTCAGAATGGTTCATCGACGTTCGCGATGACGGCCGCCTGCACGTCGCCGCGCTCACCAACCCCTCGCTTAGCGGTAAGCGCATATGGGGCGTGGCAGAACCGACCGGGTGGAACCAGATCCTTGCTATCCTACGTAAGAACTTCCCAGATGCCAACGTTGCACCCGATCTCGTCGGCGAGCCTGGCGAGCCTACTAAGCAGAAGATCGAGAACACGGTGGCGACGGAGGCGTTGGGTGGCTGGATCGGTTTAGAGCAGTCGCTAGTTGACACGGGAAAGAGTCTTGGGTTCTGAAACAGTGGGTTAGTCGTGTAAATGAATGAGAAGAAGATAGCCATTGGCTGCATGCGTGCAATTCTGTTTGTACATGAGTGAACTGAGAACCTGCTTTCATCCATAAGTTCGGAGATGAGGATGCGCGTGACAGTCGTGTATTCCTGGTCCGGCAGTAGTCCGAGATGATCGAAATCAAATATCATGATCGACATTGATTGGATCCTCGGTTGTTGGGATCCGACGGACGCGGGTATGGAGGACAACGGCTAGCAGACAAGTGTTTTTCCATGCATGACAAGTCCCACATCAAATACACGAACCGAGAGTGTCAGTGACTATGCCTTAGTCGGAAGACAATATGCCGGCATGCGCAGCTTCAGTGCCTATGTGCAGCATGTCGAAAAGCGGGTATATAAACATCGCCAGCAGAAGCGAACAAAACGGAATCACACCAAATGAGCCTCGCCCACTCCTTGTGTGTTTTTGTGCTCTGTGCTTCTCCTGCCATCAATGGACAGAGCGACTTGAAGGAAGTAAAGGTAGCATTCAATGATGCCCAAGTAAGCTATACATTTCTCCCGCCCACTGCGAAGGTCATACAAAGGAGATAGATACCTGCAGACGCACATATCACGTTTGATCCTAGTGTCTTACTGCAAGTCAACTTTCCTGCCCACGACGGATCGAACGGAACGGTCCTAGAGACTCCCGGGACACAGCTGTCTGTCGCAGGTAAGGATGAGGATTCTACAAACCATGATCCGTTGCTTATTTTTCACGCCGCAAGCGGTTGCCCCGTTTCCCTCTTTCGCGTTGAAGGGGAACCATCTCACCACGAGCGGCCAGTTTGTGATCATGATGTTCGACCTTGATGCGCCCATCCCAGAGCTGTCCCTTGTGTCTCCGTACCGGCACTTCCTGGGTAGTAACTTCAGTATCTCCGAGGGTAGTGCAAACACCACGGAAGTCTGGCTCGACGTCGACAGTAGCATAGAGCCTATTACGAAGTGGGAGTCACCAACTCCATTGACGATTCAACCTCACCGGTGAGCGGTACACTCGGAACAGCAACACCCTGTGGATATGCTGACGCGCAACCTCTTGCACAGCTACGTCTTCCTAGTTTACGACCAGTCTTCAAGCTTCGCCAGTCAAGAATACATCACGTCGACCACACCACGGATCATATGGAACGTAAGCCAATTCGCGGAGAAGACACAGTTGGGCAATCCAGTCGGTGGCACATTTATGTTGGTTGGGTTTTAGCTTCCCAAGGTATTCCGACGGATGTAGATGGTGCAGGTCGACTTTGCCGCACAGTGTGAAGTTGCGACCGCTTTCTTGTACCAGACCGGTGCCAATGTGGTCTACTAATTTGTAACAAGAGTCGTATAGCGCACCTGTTTCAGTCATCGATATAGTTGATAAAACGGCAAGTGTGTTTGTGGATTAAGATCATGAACCCATAGTTATCAGGTCCGGATACAACACATGATTTCTTGTGCGGGGTAATTTGACTGCGATGTCATATTTATCAAATTCAAGTTCCGCTCGGCATGGCCCTGACAAGTTCCCTCGGCTCGGTGTGAATTGCTCGAAACTCATTACGACCGAACCTGCTCGCTGGTCATACAATATGATAGCGGACTTATTGACCAGACATCTCTGCAACGAACGGTCAACAAGACTCGACCTGACGCTTTTCGCAGACACGCGATGCTGCCTTCAAGCCATGGTCCGGTGACGAACGACCATGACGAGTCTGACGGGCGGGAGATAGACCTGCAATCCACCCAACCAATTCAGCTGGACGGTGGCCGAATGCAGCGCATCTTGGTATGATATCTTGAATGTCGATGCATGCATCCTAAGTGACCGTCATCTCATCATGTGCAGCATGCTGAGGATGAGTACTCATGGCGTCCTCTTGTCGGGCTCGGTGGGATCTGGCTTACTTTTGTTCTCGGAAATCGCTTCATCGGCATTCCCCACTCAAGGCGATGGGCATGGCGCATTAGAATAACTAAATTATGCACGGGCGTCGGCGTTGTCAACTTTTGTGTCCAGGGATCATTGACCTTGGAGGCACAGCACAAACAGGACCCGTCTGCGAAGACCATCCTTGAAGCGGGACGGCTTATCCGTATCCTTGGGGCCGTACGTGAGGACCACCCCATGCGTAGGGCCTTTCTACGGCCGGGATCTGTGCACGCATTGCGTCCGTTTTTTGACCCAGGCATGATTAGAAAAGAGATCTTAGACAGTCAAAGTAAGTGTATGAGACACTGTCTTCGTCTAATACTATCTGTATGAACGAATACTACAGAGCAAGGCCTTATTCGTCGCTGCTTTGGTAGTCTCTACTGGCACTTCCGCCATCTTTGGTCGACGCGCGCAACGCAAGTCAGCACCAGGTTCGTGATCCAGAGACAATTCCTTATGAACACGTCGCCATCTGATACTACGCTGTCCGATAACGACCTGTTTATTCCGCACGATCTGGGACTTTCGCCCTCGGACCTCGACTTGTGTATCACATATCTTGCAAACGAGTTTAAGAGCCCATATTACTTCGTGAGTCATCCACGAAAACATCCTAGTTACTCTGTATAATAAAGTTAATTTGCATCAGCTTTGGAGTGCTGGAATGCTATGTTGCTACTTGGGCACCCACGTGCGATTCTGGGTTCTGCATGAGCCATCTTGGCTATGTCGTATTAGAGGTATCTCCGGGTGGGCGTTCGTAGCGACGTATTTGTGCCGTCCGTGGGTGCAGATGGCCTTTGTCAAGAGAATACGTGACAAGGAAAGAGTAGCTAATATTCTCCGAACCGCGGAGTTGGCTTAGTCAGGGTCCATTGAGTACTACTAGTCCTGATAAAACATTCTGTCTATCTAAGATAATACGTCAGTGCCTACAACCGTACAAATGACATAGTTGAAAAGAATGATAACCTGGTCAATGTTTTTATCCTGGCGGAGTGTACATGGTTTGAAGCTGTCTTTGAATTTGAATACATACACGTGGAAAGCCAAAATCATTTGCGACCTGGCGGAGTCGGCGACACCGCGGGGACCTTCGCCCTCTCCACCCTCTGAAAGCGCTCTCTACGATGCCAAAATGCCACACCCGAGCAAGATGTTCGTGGCGTCGATGAGCGACCCATCAGAAGACGACGGTACTCGCAGTCCGCTCATGAATCTGTCGTCTAGGCCTCTACTTCCCAAGGAGCAGCCCGAGGCACAGGAGATAGACAAGCCACCTACCAGACGGATACATCTCGATGACGGTCATATACAGCGCATATTTGTAAGCGACTCGTTGACACGATGGAACACAATTCCTCATTCCGATGGTTCTCTTGGGATGAATACAGCATGCTGAAGACGCCTACGCATGGGGACCCATTGCCGTGTGAGGCGGAATCTGGCTCGCAAGCTCATTTGCTCTCCGGTATTGCCATGGGTCCGAGCACCCGCTGCGGAAATGGCGAGTGAGAATCTCACAGATTTGTGCAACTGCCGGCATGATACAATTCTGTGAATACGGATGCTCCACCTTGAAGGCCCAGTATCTTGAGGATCCGTCAATGCGAAGCATCTTGTCCGCTGGTCGCTGGGCCCATGTTACTGGAGCATACGACCAACGCACGTATGCGGTGGTGCGCAAATGGGGGTTGAAGCATGAATACCGGCCAATATTTGATACCAGAGTGATCAGGAGAGAGATCCTCTCCGCCGAACGTATGCAATGATATCTGTTCACTATCGGAGTACTTATCCTTGGTTCAACATTCAGGTCCGCATGGAATCACCCACAACCTGTTCTCAGACCTTTCCTGGCGGTTTCGTCACTTCTGGTCATCGCGTGAGACTAAAATTGGCATGAGCTTCTGGCTACAGGCATTGTACCTGTCAGAATTGTTACCTAGCTCGGAGAACGTATTGAGACACATGCCAACCAATCTTGGACTATCCGCCCATGACCTCGACCTATGTGTTACCTACCTTGCCAATGAACTCGAAGCCTACAAGGCTGAAGTTCGTACTTACGTCCGGGTTTCTAAGCAGCCCCGTAAACTAATGATCCTACCCTTCTAGACTTGGGGCTCCAGATTTATGGGCTGCTACATATCCACATACTTCTGGGGGTTGGAGGTACAACCACGCACATTTCTCTCGCATCTCAGACGAGTATCGTTCTGGGGCATGGCCGTGACTATGTGGCTCCGCCCGTGGGTCCAAATATCCTCTCTTAAGAGGATACGCGACAAGGGGCGAGTTGCAAACATATTACAGACCGCAAAGTTGGCCAAGATGTAGCCAATGTACATGATAGTCGATGAAATCCTTGAACTAGAAGCGTCGAATGGTCTGTTTCTCGCGGGGACAATGGAAGACGAGCACTTTCAATTCGCTTGAGGGAACTCAGACGAGTTTCCGAGTCCGGATATGCGAACGGTCATACTTAGCATTGATACAGGCAAAATACAGAGTACATTTTACAGAGATTGCATGGCCCGATGGGTCAAGATTACAGATGGGGAGACCATGGCCATGCTTTCTACACGTCATACGCGATTCTGGCGCCGACCCAAGCGTAGGGGTAATTATGCTGATAATAGTTTCGCAAGGCACGGCGCCCAGCCTGGCGTGGAACCGTGACGTAAGAGCCACCGATCTAAATGCCAGCGTGTCAGGATACGCGGCAATACAGCAGCACTCGAGACATACCACAACTTGATGCTTGCCATCGAAAAAGTCAGTAGAATAGCTGGAGGAAACCCGTGAGACGGTATCCAGACGAATAGCCGTCTCATGACACATACCCAGGATAGAGACGAGACGGGATAAATCCCTCATGTTTTGCGAGGACATCAGATGTCCACTCCCACACACCGCCGTTGTGACCCTTTCCCCCGTCCTTCTCTCCCCCCATCGTCGCCCTAAACGTGTTTTGTCAGGGAAAAGGGACTACAACGTTAACATTCTGTGCACGTACGGAATGGGGTGCCAGTTCCGGAATCCAATGTTAGCCCCACCCTCATAGCCGCACTCAAACATGTCGAAGAAGAGTCGTAGCTCCGGCTCGGTCGGAATGCGACCGCCCTTGACGCTGGCATAAGTAGATAGGTTGTCGTACGACGTAATGATGGGCCAGTGCCAAGCAATCTTCATGGGCACGGGGCCATACAGGGTGCGGACCTACGCGGTATCAGCACAACGTTGCAGACATGCGGGCGGAAACATACATGAGTTTCGCCTTCGACCTGGATCCAGCTCGCTGGGAAGTCTACGACATCCTTGCCCTTGTCGTTGTAGTACTCATAGAATTCGCCGTTGGTGACGGGCCGACACTCGATTTTGAACTTGCCAACGTGTACTTCGCGCTTCGGGTGCTCGTTGTCCCAGCCGAACTCGTGCCCGGCGATGTCAGTCGAGGCATCATCGGCCTCGTCGTCGTCGTGTCCTATAGTGAGTGTCGCCGGCTCAAGTGTCATAATGTCCGTCTTCGGCGGAGGTGCACGGTCCCAAGACTCAGCAAGTACATCCCATACCGGGGGGCTGAACCCGCTGGGCGGGATGGTGCCAGTGCCTGCGCGCTGCAAGAGCATGTACAAGAGAGTCTTTACATCATCTCGTTGGTCAGTACAAGTTCTCTGAGTACGACAACCTTGATATTCACCTCTGCATGGAAGGCTTCGTGCTCGAGAGTCATGAACAGCACGCGTGCAATCTTTCTAGTGAGAGTCACGGCTCCTGAGTCGATGTCGTCGTACAGCTTAAAGATGCGCTGTCGCACTCGATATTGGAAGGTCAGAATATTATGCATAGATGGCCAATCCTCGTCACGCTGCGGGACTTCAGAGTGGGGCTGGGGGATTTGATTTAATAGTGCGTTTGACCTCATGTTAAACACTTACGTGGCACTGAGTAGGATCGTCAACGATCGGATCGATGCCACGCTGTGGAAAATTGTGAGATAATATTCTATGAGATAGATAAATTCAGAGAATCTTCTCCGCTAGGTCTTACTTCGAAGATATACTGAGAAAATACGAGATGAATATAAGTTCTTTGTTCAAATCGTAAAAAAGCTCACTTTGAACTCAATCGGCTCTGTGTCTGGCTCCGCGAGGAGCCTAGAGAGGTGGATTGACAAGAACGTCGGGATATGCCCCAGATAGAACAAACATATGTGGCGTAGATCGATCGGCTTCTGGAAGAGCATAGATTGAGGGATCATGCGCTGGGTTATGAAGTCCCACGCGGCCCACATGTCCTTCCACTCTTCGATGGTCGGCATGCCGAAGGGAGTGTTAGCAGATTCGCTCTTGCGAACCACACTTGATACTTCCTCCGCTGACGCGGGGGTTTTGAGAAGAGGGAACATGAAGGAAGGACGTTCAAGCAACCACAAAGAGTACTTCGAAGTGCTGTCTGTCCAGCGTTGAATAGGTCGCAAACTAGCTTCCGCGAAGAGCGAGTAAGCGTCGCACTCTGAGTACTAAGCGCAACAGTGTTAGTGACGAACAGGCTCGTGTACAGCCAATCTACCTTGTATGACACCTCGATGCGGACCAACTCATCAGCGGCGAATGAGTAGCTTGATTTTGTAACAGGATCAATGACGCTATGTGTGCAAAGAGACTTATAGAATGCCTCGTGACGACCTACAACAGCGATCAGAATCTGAATTAATGCTCTACGCGGGGACGCACGTTCTTGTTCATTATATCTTCCAACATACTCCCACTTGTCGTCGCTGAACAACTCTTCGTCGCCCAGAGCCTTGCCAGCGCATTTGAGGCCATTCATGATGAACGCCTTAGTGATACCTTTGGGATCGTTGTACGCCACCTCGATCTCGTGAGGATCGTTGCCGTGATCCAAACCAAGCAGTAGTGTATCACCGGACCCAGGGCGGAGAGGCAGAGAACGTAGGAACGCGGCATCTTCGCCACGGGTGAAGTTGCCCAGCGAGGAGCCCAGGAACAAGATGTGAAGGGGAGAGTGACCGCCAGGAGTGGATGGTGGTGTGTCCCCTATCTCAGCGGCGCTTCTCCCGGAAGACGCTTCAGATAACGAGCTTGGTGACGCATCTCTCCCAAGGTTAAGCTGGCGAGACAGCTGGGTAGAGAGACGGTTGACGCTGTCACGGCCTTCCAAGCCACCCTCTTGAATGTACTGCAGACCATCGTCGTACGTACCGCACAAGCCCCGCGTAGCTACCTTGCCATGAATCTTCTCTCCGACATCGGATTGGCGAAGCTCCTTCAAAGTACGCTCGAGCTCGCGCTCTTGCAGATCGAGGGCATAGTAAGTGATGGGGTCATGCATAGTGGCGGGAACCAGACTGGCGAGGGCTGATAGAATGTGGGAAGTCTTTCTCAAGGCTCTGGAAACAAAGCATATCAGCGGTGTCCTAAATACCTACCGCCGGCAGGCCTGGAATGGAGAAGTGGGATCACGTGACTACATCTAGGAAACGGAGGAATCGCGAACAGATATGATACTGTCGATCCAGATTTGACGAGATTCCTTCTTAGATCCAGCGATCTAACCGCGAGAGGAGGGTGGGTGGCTCGGTAGAGTGCAAAGGCGTAGAGGTATTGGCAAAACAATGAGACGGCACTCACCCAGCGCCAAGCTCTACCACGACTTCCTCCGACTTGAGCTGGCCCCCATCTAGAGCGTGCATGGCACGCACAATATCCACAACATGCCTTTTCAGAATGTCTTCCTCAGCTGGGAAGGGGTAATACTCGGGAGCTTTCGTGGTAATATCGTCGTAGAGTCGGAGGCCGTGTTCGTCATATAACAGCATCGTGGGCAGAGATTTGTGGCCGAGAGGCTTGGATAGGCCAACCACTATCTCTTTGCGAAGGTCGACTCCGGGGTCGCTAGAAGCGTGATTGGCGGCATGGACGTTAACAATGTCGATGGCAGATGCCATGACTTCGATCGAGGAGTAGACTGGGGACGCGAGGTGAGCGGCGTTGCGAAGCAAAGGGGGCCCGCCCCGAGCTGCCTAGTTATATAACCGCGCCCCCGGCCAAGGACTCCTCTCACCTGCGTTGAGGGGCTCCAGGCGCTTACGTAAGCAGCCATGACATAGTCTGCAATGATGATCAGTCGATGCCGTTCCGGTGACCGCAAGGTACTACTAGGTCCTGCTCAGTCTGTCTCATCGGATGCACTCCTGCACCACCATTTGGGAGACACTCCGCTTCGTCTGGAAGCGGTCTGCGTCCGCGAACTCACCTGACCGGACCAGGTCACCATGACAAGTTATCCGTAGTCTAGCGCTCGTCTCATGCCATAATCAGATGGCCGCGTCTTGGTGCCTCGACGCTTTTCAGTTTCTACTGGACTACTGATGGGTGTCTTACATCCGTTTGACGTAGTCGCTTGATAATACAAACTCTATGATTTGGTACAAACGTGCGAAGGAGGAAGTACCACTCACACCGGAAGCATGTTCGTGATCAAACGTTTCCTGAGATTCGAATCGAAGACGGCGCCTCTGGAGGGCGCGAAATGCTCCAGGCGGTGTGCTGTGAAGAAGCGGATGCATTCTTCGGTAACCTGATTGCTACTGTGAACCGCTATCACTTGCATTCAATGCAATTCGGCTACATTGTCATAGGGTAGGCGATTCTTACCCTAATTGCGACGGAACTTTAAGTCAGTTGCCGGACATCAGGGTGCAGCGTGAGTACATACCATATCCATTGACGCTCACATCAAACGACTCGTGCCCAAGGTGAGGGCAATTACAATTCCGCATCATGAACGTGTTCGGCCGCCTCGATTCGAGCTGCGGTCCGAAGCGACCCAAAAAGTTCGAGACACTAGCAAAACCACCGCGGGGCGCTCGACGCACAACATGCGAAGCGTTATCATTGATTCTTGTCTATACTCACAAGCTCGGCAGCTAGCCGTGTCAGTAAAGGCTCCGCTCGCGGATTATGCGGGAACGTTCGTCCATCACCCTTCCTGTAAGCGAACAACTCTAGATATCAATATGATGGCGAGAAGCGTATGAACCACACAACACGTACCCGCCTCCACCCAGCCAAAGACGATACATCCAACCCCGTGGACGACTCCACCCCATCACCTGCGCCCAGTTTCTCTTCCACCCGACGTCGTAAATCTTGAGTTGATAATGAGCGTCACGCACTAGGCGGCGCTGCGGGTATGTCAATTCATGCTCCAGCGGTGGGTCTGACAGCTTCTGCCGCGTAGAAGTTTGTGGAGGGAGGGGGGGGAGGTGGCGTAGGAGTAAGTACGGCGAAATATTCTCAATTGTTGTTTGGTTAGTCCTGTGAGAAACATAGACATGAGGAGCCCGTGAGATGCCAAACATAATGCTTCGCACGTTGTGAGGTACAGGTGATAGGTCCAGAATGAACCGATGACAAGAGTCATGATGATGCCGTAAAATGCTAAATAAATATCATGAAGTGGAGTGTTCTCGTCCTGAATTGGGGTCAATTCTACTCGGGTTTGTTAAACCAATCAGGTTGACTCACTATAGCTAGCGGGTTCGTGAAGGCAAAGTATACTGCCTGTACGCAGAGACATGCGATGTAGATTGACAGCAAGCTGACACATGTGAGAAAATGGACGAAAGCGGAGTAGTTTCTGTGGCCCTGCATTCCTGTCAATATGACCAAGGAACGCTACGCAGCAAGCTAAACTCACTATGCATTTGTCCCCAAGCCAATAGCAGTGGTGATCTCGAGAGCAAGTTCAATATCACGTATTCCATGAGCAGCATACGCTTTACTCACCCATCTTCAAGACGCATCTCCCACAAGAGCTACAATGATGTGACCTCTCTGGCTTGGGGGCAACGCACTTTCGACACCATTTGCCTTGGGTTCGTATTAACGGCTCATCGTCCTCAGTATCCAGTAGGGCCTGCGCGAAGTCCATGCTGCTGGATTCGCTATCCGGAGCTTCGGATCTTTTGGGAGAGGGAACAGGGCCAGGGTCCCGCGCGAGTATTACAATGAGAGAGGAGACGGCGCAGAATGTGAGCGTGTATGTCACCAGGAGATGTGTCAGGAAGCGAGAGGGCGAATGCAGTACACGTAGGTGATAGTTGACAAGCACAATGAGGAGAGATGGATGGGGCGCGAGCATGAGTGTGAGGGCAACTGCAGACTCTCATAAGATGCAGGAGCACGGTCATCATTGAACAACTCACGGGTAAGTGGCACATAGCGGAGCCACGACTTCCCGAGCGGCGACCCTGGTAGTTCATCATCATCTTCGTCATCCCAGTTTGTGGGCCTAGGTACCGGACCCCGAGGAGGAGAAAGTAAAGGGCTCCTGCGTGTCGTCGACATGGTATACAATTAGTGGTATACGTCCAAGAGAAGAGGTAATGAGCGTTATGGCCCTATTGCATGCCCTGGGGTCGTTGCCTTCGTGAAGACCGGCAAAGAAGATGAAGCTGTAGCCTGTGGGACGGCGACCGAAGGCAGTCAAGGCATGCACCGGTAACTGAAATTACCGGATGTCGACAACAACCCAAATGCGGTGCCAACAATTATCAAAACCAAAATTACAGTGTAGAAACCGAGATGAAGACGAGAGCCGTGGCAGATGGTTATTGAACAGATCTCAAAGGCGATGACAATATGTCGCAAGTATGGGCGCGCACTGGACCGGTCCTGGGATTACGAGTGGGAGGCGCGGTCACGTGCACTTATAAAGTAACGCGCTCACCACGTCGTGGTGATTATTTCAAACATTTCCCTTTCAGAGTACCAAATGGCTGTTGATGTGGGTCGTTCAATTGATACTATGTAAACATAATGAAAAGTAATGATCAAGCATAAGGTGGGACAGGACATGCAGCCGGGCAAACAATATGATTGCGAGCGATGGTTTTCGTCACGCCCGGGGCGGGGAAGCAAACGCGTAAGGCACATACGTACAAAATTGAGCACTATCATAGATAACGCTAGTCTCCTGAGAGCAGAGTAGATATTCCTTCAACCTGCGCCGGCTCCGAGTATCTATATATAACGCGGCCATATCTATTGATCGATCCCGCTCGCCCTGACTCGTTCCAACATAAGGAGCCAAAAATCTACTAGAGCCCTGAAATTTTGCAACCTCGCGCGACAGGGGCCAACTTTGACCACCGTCAAAGTGTGTATTAGCATCCGTGCTAGAGAAGCGACGGAACACCATAATAACCATATCAATGCGGCACATATATGTTATGACATTCGCAAGAGATCCAAGGCATCTGAAACCTATCCTGTCGGACCTGTAAATATCAGCTAGGTCCAACAGTGGGCTGTAGCTAGCCCAATCACAATCTGTATCTAGAAACAGCAATGACAATCGTGTAGCATGGCGTGTGCGGCTAGGCGAAGCAGTCTGCCCACCGCCAGGATTTGGTAGCAAGCGGACATGGAAGAAAATATTGGCAGTGTTTGTGTTCAGTAGGGAGATTCACACCCTTGATGTATGTACAACCATGACGTGAGGCCTACAGTGAAATGGATGAGCTCAGACTAGAGTAAAATCGACAGCAAACGAAACGAGCTAAACGTCAAAGCAAGTGCGATGCGTGACCCGAGTTAACAGGGCTCGCGGGCTATGATCGAGGTAAAGTAGGACTCTGACATCTAGAGGAGTGATGGGTATATTCCGAGTATGACAAGGTACAATGTAACATCATACCGGAAGTGATAAGCGGGAGAGCGAAAGGCGAGGAGAAAAGTACGAGGTATATGTGAGCTAGGACGATACCACCGCCATTCGTCACGGACCAATGCCAACTTAAATGACGTATGGGTACGCGTTCGTGACCTCGGTAACGTTCGCAATAAATGCACATCCGTTTCCTTGAACGCACTGCGCCAGATTATTGGCGACGTCCAATCCTTCGTAGTAGGCGCCGTGCAAGAAGCCTGCATCATACCTGCATCAGCATATAGTCTACTTGCGAAGCCAAAAAAGCAACACACCAAAGTACTTCTGGCTCGTAGCCTCGCCTGCGAACCACAGCCGCTCGTCTACCGTCGCGCGCAAGTTCTGATGATGCTCGCTGAAAAAGGACGGCGGCCAATTCGAGTACGATCCGCGGAAGAGCGGGTCGCTGTGCCACCGGTGAAAGAAGAAGGTCGTGGGCTCGGGAATCGTCGCGTTAGGGAACATGGCTTGGAGGACTTCCAGGACTTCCTTTTGGACCTGTTTGTCGGGCAGTGCCTCGATGCGTTGGGAAAATTCACCCTGAGAGAACGACCTGGTCAGTCTTGACGACAACGAGAGTAAATAAATACGGGGCACCGTAACAGTGACAAAGATCACACCAGAGCCCGGGAAGAAACCCGTGAGGTTCATGTTCTGCCAGACCGGATATCTTCCTCGGACCGGATCTGCGTACAGGCCCATCTAGATATGTTTTATAGTTGCGAGAATCTAGGTGATCTGGACAGGATCTGACCTGCGTATCAAACCAGAAGTCCTCTGGGAACTGAAGGAAGATTTTGGTATACGTCGCCTATAAGAAGACGGGCCTGAGCATACGACATCTCGGAATCCAGCCTGCATCAGTACGTACCATGACCATGCTCTGGATGGCTTCCTGCTTCCAGTCAGGCAGAGCAGGCTGGAAGACAACATCATCGTTCTGCAGCACGCCCAGGCTGAACGTGCATAACGCGTAGTCCGCCGTCAGCACGGTCCCATCTTTCAGTGTCACCTCCACCCTGTCGGAGGAATACGCGATGTTCGTTACGGTCGCGTTGAGTATGAACTGCTCCGGCTGCAGAAAGTCAGCAGCCTCCGCCTGGATGAAGTGTTTAAACCCGCGCTGGTCGATAGACATCGCGTTGGTGTCTCCGAAGCCGCCTTGGTCAGGGTCGTACGTGAAATTGTTTCCCTGTCGAAGGGGCACATTCAAACGTCATGAGATCACCCCAAAAAATGGCGGGATGTGTCTGGACTTACCCAGGAGCTAGCAATCCACGACGATTCCAGCGGGCTCTGAGCGTACTCCCAATCAAAGGCGTAGTACTCGCACGCCTTGTCCGCGGGTGTCATCGGCTTTGAGCCGATCAGCGAGTAGCCTGAGCGCGCGGTCAAGTCCACCAGCTGCTGCTCCACGCGCGCGCCGGCGACGACAGTGAGCTCGTTGTACACGTCGGTCGACTTGTCGAACGTGTCAAGATAATCCGCGGGTCCATTCTCATCGTACGTTGCTTTATAACATGGTCGAAGTCAGCGGCAGACACTGAGCATTGTTAGGGAAGGACGTACTCATGCTCCCGAACCAGTCGCTGCTCGTAGTATTCAGGCCGTGTTTTTTTACAAGAGACCAAATAGGGTTCTCCGGGCCGCCTTCGGAGGCCTGCGTACCCTGTACCCAGTTCGCACCGTATTCGACAAGCAGTTCTTTGCCTGGGGCGCCGATAGTCTGAGACTGCAGGCGACCACCAAGCTCATCTGGGCCAATGTGGCATTCCCATTCAGCCACTGTGCACTATGAGTGTAAGATAATACAGACGTACCTCGAGCCTCCACAATGACGAAATTTGTAATGCCTTGCTCGTAAAAGGTACGTGCCGCAATCACACCAGCTACGCCACCACCTAGGATGAGGATCTTAGGGTCGGCAGCAGGTTCGGCGTCCTCGTCGGAGAGTGCGGAGCGTGGGACTGAACGTGCGTGCACATAGTGAAAGTCTACAAGCAGAAGGGCGAGTAGGCACCAGCGCATAGGGTTCAGCGCGGACATCCCGATGGTCTGTAAAAGGACTCTAGCAAATCACCAGGAGTGGGAGAGGCCTCACGTCGTAGGCCGGTATTTCGTACCGATTTTTATAGCAAGCGCAGGAGGCGGAGTAGTAATCGGGATTTGTGACCGAGATGGATTTCGAGGACGATGAGAGTGATGGGCGACGAGGTAACCAGACAGCTTTGCGCCCTGCTGGATGTTCTTTGGTGCGCTTCCTGCGAGACACGACAGGGTAAAGTGACATTATGGTAGCATATCTAGACACTTGATGCATCCGAAGCATGAAGGCGAGGAGGTAAGAACACTTGTCAATGCCATCGTTAGATGCTCTCACTCGCTATGTTCCGTCTTCCGAGCCTTCTAGAAGCACATTGTGTGCGCCAGCTTGGCTTCTTTGGGGGCCGTCGTCGAGTTTTGACGTGGATTGACAGCCTTGTGCTGTGCGTGGATGACCTCGTACACCGCCCTAGACCGACGACGAAGCTCGTGAGGGGCAAGCTACCAGTGTGGTACCCAGTGCGTCGCTGGTTTTAGGTCCTTTTCTCCCTCTGTCTGCACAAAACTGATCAGTGAGTGTGGCGGCGGTCGGACTTGCCATGACCACAACATAGTGGTGTTGTTTCCAGGGTTTCTTTTTTTTTGGTCAAGGAAGGAATCGTTCGCGCTGGCGTTCCACCCTCGTTTCATTTGCAGCTCTCATCCCAAGCCTGGATCCTAAATTGGGCAAATACAAGTTGGACGACAATGTCTCCGTCTCTTCTCTTGACAGACATGCAAATAAAAAAGGCAATCAAAAATTTGATCACCTTTTCTCTGCGGCGATCAGCGACTCCTTCGAGGAATCTTCCAGTCCCGACCGAGCCAATTAATCGACGCCTGAACGACGTTGAGAAGTCATCGCGACTATTCCCACGCCTTCTGGCAAGCTCGCAGAGCCTCGCAGTCACAGAGACACCGCGAGCAGGAGCCGTTGCCCGGACCGGCAGTAATAGTGTTTTCGATTGACATCTATTGCCTTCTGTTTCTTCGGACATCGCATACTGTCTTATCGAAAAGGTTGCCCGGATACTGGGTCCTGCCCACGGTGAAAGTGGAATAACGCGCCCGGACGACAAAAAGGCTGTGCCAGGAATAGCTGGGATCCTCGGAGCCCGCGCAGATACTTATTGGCCTTCGGGTATCACCGGAGGCTTGTTTATACCAATCGCAACGCTGAGCCTGTCGGTCACAAGGATTAGTGCGTCATCGAGTGCATTTCGCAAACAGGGATAAAATCACAATTTAAACGTAGAGTGCTCTTGAAGATTCGACGATAAAAATACAGCAAACAGTTCGCCACTGCCTTTTATATACTGCTTGCCAGTGGTTGACATTTTCGTCAACACCGCCGTATGGGAGTTCGTGAGTTCATTGCAGGTCGGGGACTTAGGCTTTGGGATTTTGCACTTCGTACCTCTTACCTCTTACCAAGGCCTGCAATATTGACGCAGATTGGCCCTGCCCTGCCCTGCCCTTAGAACTAATCATCACAGCAAACTGCGGATAGGCGCTGAATTTAGTTCATTCCAGTGGACCAAGGGTCTTCGAAGCTTTAAGTTCGCGGATAGTTACTAGTAAGTCCAATAAGCTATGCGATCATCTTTTGTACCAGTACTCTGGTCGAACCGTGTTTAGTACTCGAAACATCGCGGAACCTCTGTGAATCCATATACTACATACACTTGTACTGATCCAGTTCATGCGCAGAACCAAGTTGAAATCCTGTCCATCATCCAAGTCGGTGGTTCGATAAACCGAGGTCTCATGATAATATACCTCAAACTGTTATGGGTATGGGCATGGAAGCTGCATGGCGATACATCAATACCGAGCCTTCTTTGCTAAATATGTCGGCGTTATGCAATAATCTGGAGACAGCGTGAGCATTCTGCGTCCCGTGTAATAGCGCTCGGTCACCTAACACCATACATCGCAGGGCCAGGCCGCGCGTATTTAAACCCTCCGTCTAACACAGAGGCTGCTCGCCACAGGCCTTCGTCTCTCCACCAACATGTCGAACCCCGACTTCCATTATTCCAAACTTCAGCATATTGCTAAGCGAGCGATATTGCCGCTCTTACCCTCAGACCCTGCATCTTCTCAGAAGCCGGATCATGAGCTTCCAGACCCTAAAAATGTCCAAGGCGACATATATCTACTTTTCCCGAAAGTGAGCTGTAACACATATCGTTGCACATTGTTATCTGATGCGCTGTACCGTGCCGTAGGATCACGAGAACTTCATATTCTTTGCTATACGCGATGTGGACCAGTTTAGGCGCGACCTCGCGAACTACACCCCGACGACATCCGATGACGTTCTTGACAACCTGCGCCAGATCACCGACGCCAAGGCCAGTGCCGCCAGTCCGTCTCAGGTCACACGCGTTCGCTTTGGGCAGACACAGATCGCGTTCAGCCGCTCTGGCCTCAACCTCCTTGGTCAGACTCAGCAGACGAAAGACACGCACTTCGACCAGGGCTCCATGAGGAACGAGATCAAGGCACTTGGCGACGGCGGTCCTTGGGACCCTCTCTTCGCTAGCGGCACTATTCATGGCGTCATCATCGTTGCTGCGAGCCGTGGGTGGAGTGCGCTGTGACGTTGTTCTATGGCATTAACCAGCCATGATTGTAGACGCTGACGAATGCCAAACCGCAACGCAGAACGTCAAGGATGCCTTCAAGCAATCGATCTACAACGTTTCAGAGATGGACGGAAATACGCGACCCGGAGCCCAGAGAGGTCACGAGCACTTTGGGTACAAGGACGGAGTGTCGCAACCTGCCCCTCGGTAAGCCGAAAGTCTGTACAATCCTGAGCAGGAACCTTACATGGTTCATAGGGGACTGGTCAAAGCACACACAGGTCAGCTCCAGTGTGATGCCGGCGTCATCATCTGCGGCTACAAAGGCGACCCTGTCTTTGATAACCCGTACCTTTCTGCGTCAGAGAAACGCCCTGACTGGACAAAGGACGGGACGTTCATGGTATTCCGCAAGCTCGAACAAGACGTGATCGGGTTCAGTAACTATTTGAAATCTGCCGGGCCTCAATGGCGGCGATTCCTGCCTCAGGACGAGATGAACAAGATCTCGCCGCCGTTGACAGACAACGAGGGCGCTGAGCTCTTTGGTGCGCGGCTCGTGGGGCGATGGAAGTCGGTGAGCGAATCTCTTGCAGACGGCATCCGCCTCCTGATATACAGGCCTTGGGTTTAGGGCGCCCCCTTGGCGACAGCACCGTATCGAGACGATGCGAGCATTCCCTTGGACGAAGACAAAGTCAACAACTTCGATTATACAGTGAAGGGCCAGTTCGGACCTAGCGACAGCGTGTGCCCGTTCACTGCGCACACGCGCAAGACTGCCCCACGCAACCTCGATCCATACTTACAGAAGCAATTCCTAGAGAGCATGCTCGTCATTCGTGCAGGGCTTCCGTATGGCCCCGAGGTATGATCTCGCTATCAAGTAGCAGTGGCTAGCTGATGCTGTCGATAGGTCGCACCGGGGGAAGTCCAGAAGGATACAAGCCCGCGAGGGCTCCTGTTCTTATGCTATCAGTCATCGACCGAAAACGGGTTCTGGCAGCAGACGCGGTCCGCGGTGAATGAATACTTTCCTACCACGTCTCTTGTTCCTGTGAGACAGGGTTAGTACCCTGTTAGCACCCGCGGCATGCGTCTGATACACCTGTCTTTGCATAGGACAAGACCCAATCATTGGCGGTGCGACCTACCCGTCGTTCACAGTGACAGCCACTGGTTCCGTCCCGAGCCGCGGTGAGGTTACCATCAATGTCACCGACTCGTCAGGCGAGACCCAGTCTGTCACGGGCTTCGTGAACACGCCAAATCTGAGCGCAGAGGCGATTGCGCCGAAGTACTTCGTGACTTCGCGCGGTGGTGAATACTTCTTCGTGCCGTCGGTGTCTATACTCCGTGCACTGGCGGCTGGTGGTACTCCGGGACCATTCACGAGCACGCCGCCCACGCAGGAGGGCGTGTACCGCATCAAGTTGTATGGGCAGACCCCAGAACAGGTCTGGGAGTATATTCCTGATAGCGTGCCTTGGGTCAAGCTGTGCCCACTCGACCAGTCGAATGATTACCAGAAGGTAAGCGAAATCATGCGGCTGTTCGGTGATGTATCGAGCTCATCGCAGCGCAGTGGCGCATCACTCCACTCGGGAATGGCGACTACTACATCAAGAGCGCGAAGACGGATTATGGACTGGTGCATTCGTCATATGGGTACTGGAACTATGGCTTCCCTATAGGGAGCGCCGGCGGGTCTATCGTATGGCAGATCAACGAGCGGACGGCTGGGAGCGACAATTTCCTGAAGTATGCTCGAAATTCTTCACGTTGTGCTTTGACTGAAGAAGCTTGCAGGATCAGGGAAAAGGGCTCCAACTCGCTAGATTCTCAGTCCCCTCAAGTCGTAAGCCCTCTCCTTGCTCGCGCGTAGTGTATGCCAGACTCACTTGTTGGGCATGCAGGTCCACTTCTACAAGGATGATATTGTAAGTTCGATTCATGTACAGCAAGGAGCTTCGCTGAACGCCGCGCCCGGTCTAGAATGAGCCGAACCAACGCTGGCTGATCGGGCTTGTCTGATCAGAATTGGTTGAGTTACATTCCATATAGCTTCATGTAGCGAGATGAATCACATGCCAGGTTTTGAACTGCTGCCCAGATACAATGCGTATGTTCTGTAGTCAATGAATAGCAGATGTCTACATAAGACTGCCGCAAGCCAAGGGCAACCGGAAGTCAGAGGCGGATGTATCCATGGCTGGTCCGAGTGACAGAAGTAACATCAGAATGAGCAGATACGAGCGGAACCTGAGTGCAATATCATCGAATACGGGCATCCTGGGCCTGTGAATGTTCGAAAATATATGAAAGTTTACCTTCGACACCGCAGTTGACAGTCTCGCGTAAGACACCCCTGTGGCTGCGGCCTCCCCACTTATCGGCCGGAGAAGAGGTACTTTGTGCGGATGGGCCTTTTTTGTCATCATCAGGAGCAGGAAGGGCCTGGGGACACGTCGCAGACGAACAGGATGCAGAGCAGAAATATGTGATCAAGATGTATTTCGTAGACCATGTGGGCATGATGAGCGACGAGGTAGCCAGACGATTTTGTGAAGACATCGTGACCCGGATGCTCTTTGCTACGCTTCCTACGAGATGAGACAAGGTAGAGTGACATTGCAGGAGAACAACTGGACACTTGGTGCGTCCAGAGTATGAACACGAGGAGGTAAGAACGGAGAACATCTCTGACTCACCCTCGCATGCATTACTGAGACTGAGTATAAGGGGCCGTGTCACGCACTTTCCTCACACCAAGGCACTATTCATTTCGTCTCAGTCCAATTATTATAGAATCGAATCAAGCAGAACTGTTAGGCTTGATGCGAGCCGATCGAGGCCGATCGTGCCAATGCGGACCACGTGATGAGCGCGGGTCCCAAATTAGGTTTCCCGCCTCGCGCTCGCGTCTCCGTCCAATTTTCCCGCTGCGAACGCGCTCGGCGCTCTGTCCGCACCCTCATCATGGCGAGCGCATCATCCCAAAACGAGCTTTCGCAGGCCACCTTCAACGAATACAACACTGCGCTACAAGGAGCTGTTCTCAAGGCTACTAAACACGCTGTTCAACTCCCGGCCGACATTGCATTCCACCGCTCCGTCGACCGCGCCTTTGCAAGGGATGTCGAAGCGTGCTCGTCGCGCGTTCTAGATCTCACGAACAGACTTCTCTCCCTCGTATCCACTGCCGACACCCCCGCAAGCTCGCGGCGAAAGGGCAAGGCCCGGGTAGAGAACGAGGAAGATGTCCTTGACAATTTCCATGCGCTGGTTGTCGATTCAATGGACCAGTTGCTCGAGCGAGCAGTAAGGAATGCTCTCTTTCTGTGTATGGATGCCGCTGCGAGGTCGTGGTGCTTACATCTACTGGTCAATAGGATATTTGTCTGGATGAGTTCCTGGGTCGCAGCAAGCCGCCGGCGATCGCGGTAAACCTCACTCAACCCACCTCACACAAGGTACGCAGTCACTTACCTCTGCCCATGAAAAATGCTTCATGCTTGTTAAATAGGCGAAGAGAACGACTGTACCTCAAGGCCGGCTCGACCCTGCTTTGCAACACGCGTCGCATCTCGCCAAGCCGCAGCTTCGCTTTACACGAAAAGTAGACAACAGCAGCCGCACTATTTGGCAGCCGACTTTACAGCACAAGTTCAATGCCCAGGTTCCCCTCGGTCACAATCTCCGTGACGAGGACAGCGATGAAGGTCTCCCGGGGCCCAGCGCGTATGTCTATGTACAACCACATTGCTGACCCAACTAACCGCAGTTACAGTTTACATCCATATCGTTACGAGATCAAACATATAACCTACCCCGATCGCATGTTTGCCTCCGCTCCGCCTATGTCTCCACGCTCCTTTGCAGAGACACCTTTTACATGGGTCGCAGACTCAACTGCCTTCTCGGCAATGCTCAACAAGCTCCGCTCTGCCCAGGAAATTGCCATTGATTTGGAGTATCATAGCTACCGCACATTCGGCGGTTTCGTGTGTTTGATGCAACTGAGTACGCGGGAGGAAGACTGGGTTGTAGATACACTGGCTGTGCGAGACGAGATGGAGGCACTGAATGAGGTGTTCACGGACTCACAAATCGTAAAGGTACGTGCAGCGTCCAATGTAACTTCCATTCCCTACTCAAGCTCTACGTCCTGATAGGTGCTACATGGAGCGGAGAGCGATATTGTGTGGCTTCAGCAGGATTTCAATCTGTACATTGTCAATCTCTTTGACACATATCATGCGTCAAAAGTACTAGGTATGCACGCTTAATGTTGTTGTCTTGGTCAGCACTAAACGTTTGCGGTGTATGAAGACTTCCCGCGGCATAGCCTAGCGACACTACTTGAGATGTACTGCGACTTCACTGCTGACAAACGCTACCAGCTTGCTGATTGGCGAATCCGGTGAGCCTTACGCAGCTTAGCTTTCTTTCCTTGCGTTGACCGGACTGTATGCTGTAGACCACTTCCGGAAGAGATGCTCGCCTACGCACGCTCCGACACGCATTTCCTCCTTTACATCTACGACAACCTCCGCAATGCCCTCCTCGACCGCGCTCAATCGCGCACGCAGTCCCGCGCGCAGTCCCCATCCGCATCGGCGCCCGCGTCTAAGCCGGGCTCTCCTTTGCCTACCAGTGGCAATCCTGCGCATTCTCTGGTCCGGCTGGTGCTTTCGCGCTCTGAGGAGACGGCACTACGTGTCTACGAGAAGGAGACATATGATGCCGAAGGCAGCGGGCCTGGCGGATGGGACACGCTCGCGCGCAAGTGGAACAAGGGTGCGCTCATCGCGAGTGCGCAGGAGCCCACGAGCGGTCCACTTGCAATGCAGCGCGCAGTGTATCGTTGCGTGCACGCGTGGCGCGATCGTATCGCGCGAGAGGAAGACGAGAGCACGAGGTATGCATTGGCTATCCGCATGCATAAACACCGCCGGCAGGACCGCTAACGCTGTATTTTTCACAGATATATCCTGCCGAACCACTATCTCTTCATCCTTGCGGAGCGCCCGCCTGCAGACATGGCCGCGTTGCTGTCGACGTTCCAGCCTGTTCCCCCTGTCGTCCGACGGCGCGGCCGCGAGCTGTTGGACGCAATCCGAGACGCGGTCAAACGCACTCTTGGTCCGGAGCTCAGTGCGGGACCCTCTGCAGCTGCAAGTACTGCCCAGGTTGCTCAAGCGGATGTCGCAGAGACGACAGCAGAGTCTAAGGCCATGCAAGTCGACGGACATGTATTGCCCGTAGTGGAGGGTTGTGGCACTGGTACGAGCGGCGCTGCAGTAACGTCGCTCTGGTCGCATGGTCAGTCTGATCGTGTCTCCTCTGGCTGTCTTCCCTACTTACAACCGCGTTTATACAGTGGCGAGGCCGGCTTCTGCTACGCTCTCCTCTGCCCTCTTTGGCTCTCCGGAAGTGATCAAGGTCGATGTCAAGGAGACAGATGCCGTCCCGTATGCTGCTTCGCGAAGCGCGCTTTTTGGGGAACGTGTTACGGTGTCCTCGGTGCGTCTATTTTCATCCTTGCTCCACCTTGCCTTAGGCTGACCACAATGCCTTTTCCTAGTCGTTAACGTCGACATCATCAGTAAAGCCTCGCTTCATTGAGGTTCTAACACGCATCCACAGCACCCTCACCGTCGCTCCATCCCTCCCGAAGTCCTCATCTGTGATTAAGTCGGCAGCCTCCGGCAACGCACTGTTGGCCCAAGATGCAGAGGCCTCTGCACCTGAGGATGGTGACACGCTGATGCTTCCAGGCACGGTCGAGCTTCCGTTCGTGCCTGCGTCGGAGCGCCGGCAAAAGGCGCGCACTGCAGGAGAGGCTGATGCGATCGTTGTTGTCGGGCAGCGCCAGCGCAAACGCAAGCGCGTGAAAGGTGCGGGTGCGAAGGGGAAGGACGGTGAAGCCGCAGCGGTGGATAGCAGAGACCAAGAGGAGGCTGAGCCGTTCGACTACAATGCCGTGTCGAATATTTTGGACGAGGGCTCCGAGCCGGAGGTCGAGGAATCGTCCTCGCGGAAGAAGAAACACAAAACAAAAGGTGCGCAGTATTTCTTCTGTCATGTATTCAAGTTTCGCTGATGCCGTCCTGGCACACCTAATAGGTCCCGCTCCATATCAGTATGGAAACTTTGGGGCGGCGCCTAAGGCGCACAGTCAGCCGAAAAGTGGAAATGTCTCGCGGACATTCCGATGAAGACGGTGCGATGAATGTGGCAGTATATTGTCCTATAGGTGTCATAGTGGCAAATTTATTGCTTATGGATGAAATGATGACAATTTAAATACCCTTGGCCACTTTCGAGGCCGATGTGCAGACTTCATCCATGGTGTCCATAACCGCAGAACTACATGAGCGCATTCTGCTCTCGAAGACCGAGTACGCGCGAATTGACGCAGTGGCCCTCCACGAATCATTCAAGCGTTAAAATACAGTCCTGAGTTTTGGATTGGGATACAGTCAACTATTTCAGTAGCTGCACGCATGAGACGAACACAATCTGAGCATGTTCGTTTGAGGGGCTGGAAGGCCATCCAACCACGATTATAATTGCGTCTAGCGTTGTCATTTGTGGTGCACAATCGCATGCTCAAGTTTATATAACCTTGCATCTTGTGTCTCGTGAAGCTTGTATAACCATTGATAGATACGCACATATGTCTTATCTTCGCGATGGTTCCCATTTTTGATCAAATATCTTCGACTTAACGACTCGGATACTTACAGCACTAAGTGGACTGAACGACTGCAGTCGGTACCATTGCAAGTTGATTCACAGCTTCAGGCTACTTCATATGCCCTGCCACGGTGACGCAGGCAGTGGAAGATCCGAGAAAATCTGGAAAACGTCTCAGTGCTGTGCTACTTTTTGTTTGTGGTCACGACGCCACACAACGACAGATCTCACGTGAATAAATCACAAGAATCCATGTTTCTGAAAGAGACATGGCGAGTTACAGAAGCATTCCGATCTATATACTTATGTCCTTATGTACACTTTGTTCTGTATCGCGGCCCGGGCTATGTCTTTTGTCCTCTTAGCCGACGCGGAGTTACAAACTACGCCCTTGTATTCTGTCCGTTTGCGTCAAGCTGAGAGACAATACGGTCACGAGGCGGTATTTACAGACAAAGGCTGTGGTAACCTATTAGATAAGATATCCTATTAAGGAGGTCATCGGTGGCGGTCCAAGCCTCTCAACCATCTTGCGTTCGGCCATAGCCTACCCTCACCACAACACCCTCCACCGCACTTGCAAGTACATCTCCGCTGAACTGTGAGTACTCACTGGTCATCCTGTTCATTTTCCTTGGCCAGCAGCGAACGCGACAGATTCAACCTTAACTTCCGGTAGGGCATTGTGTGGCGTCGCTCTTCGACGCGAGCTGCTGTCGCCGGACACATAGTTTTTAACACATAGTGATAATAGACTGAGTACGGCGACTGACTTACGGATCTACCCTTCTCTAGAATCCCTCAACGATGCTGTGGTTGCAATTAGCGACCAAACTGGGCATCGCCCTCCTCACTTTCGTAACGCACCCACAGACGTACGGAAACCCTTACTTGCCACTGACGATTGGGGCATTCATCGAAGCCGCGGTTCCCAATATCCTCTTCATCGCTGAAAATGCCGCACACTCCTTCATGTGAGTGAGGTCAATATCCATGCGCCACATTGGCTCACTTTGTCCACACAGCACATCTATCCCCTCCCTCCCGGCCCCGCCTACTCGCCAGGCCATCTCAGGCCCTCAGGCTACGGTACCATCCACGGACCTAATACTATGGACACCGATTGGGCTCCCAGTATCTGCGGGACTCCACTTGCCAACCCTCGTGGCAACGCCTATCTCGAGTCTATCGGCTGCTACGGCGGAACGCAACCATGCGTTAGCACCGCAGCTGGAGTACCCGACGAAGGAACTCATCGTTTGGGAGGGGCGCACAGGCGAATCAGTTGATGCATTCGGGTCGACCAACTTTGTCGCGAGCGCCATCGTGGCCATTGTCATCGCATGTTATGTCTACATCGTAGCGAATGTCCTTCGTGCATGCACACTGTATACCTTCGTAAGCGACCATTTATCGAACACAATGACAGGAGCTCACTGTCTTGCTAGGCTGCTGTCGCTCCGAGTGCAGATGCCGGTACACCCCCGCCGTTCGACGTCGAGCTCGCGTTGAACTGCGAGGGTGTCTCGGCGGACTTCTCAAACCAGGAGCTGGTTTCCGGGATCGCGACTGAATCAGATGCACATGTCCATCATAATGGTCAGTCGATGGCCATGCGCTTTGTACCATCCGATTAACGACATATGAAGATACCCTCGACACAGCAGAAACGCTACCAGTGGCCTCCGATGACATCTCGCCTGCCCAGACCACAGGTAGTGCCCACCTTTACCTATGCATGCGAAAGACTGGCTCACAATGCATGCATTTTTAGAGCCGTCTAACGGCCATATGTCCTCATACCCAGACGCAACGGTGGCTCATCTCGATGACAACCGTGCTGTAGATACCCAGGACATACGGGGCGCAGAACATGCCCAGGCGAACACAGATCTTGAGACAACTGGACTAAGCACCCCAACCGTAAGTCTCATGGAGTACCGACATGTCCATGAAACTGACGAGGCTGTTGTATCCAGGTGATAGATGGACAAGACCCCTCAGCGCCGGACGTGTCCGCTCGCCCACTCGTGGCGCTATTGCCGCAACAGGCAAACCGCATCGATGTACTCTACCCAACATCTGCTTATTTGGATCGTTGGTCAAACTCCTCCACATCCCTGCTGCCATCTGCTTTTCGACATGTATTGCCCTCTCGACATGTGGCCCTCTCGCTTGGCCCACACCTGCCATCACCGGGACAGAAAAAATGCAAGGAGCACGAGAGACAGTGCGAGGCAATCTCTGCTAGCATACCGCGGTGGAGAATCGGGAATGTCAAGCCCTCCTTGGAATCAGCTGCCAAAGCACTGGTTTTGCAACGTGAACTGCGCAAGAAATGTGAAACACAATTCGATGAGCTAACAAAGCGCTGTGCCGAAGTCGATGAATGTTGCGCGCAATTGGACTCAGAAGTCATTCGATTGGAGCAAGACGATGAACAACTGGAGTGCGAGCGTGTGGCTGTTGCAGAGGCACGTTCGAACCTGGCGGAGGAGTATGCACAGCTGGATTACGCCCATGTCCAGCTGGCTGCGGAGCAATCGCGACTGCGGGTAGGGCTCGGTCTCTCGGAGGAAGAACACGAACACACCGAGGAGTACCAGACGGAATGCCTCAATAATGAAGGCGCACAGCAACCAGAGGATGATCCGATGGAAAGCATCGACGAATTCTACAGGTTGCTAAACAATGGCGAGAGCCAGGCCGAGCAGGAAGAGCGACTCGAGCAGAGCACGACAGGCGAAAGCACCGAGCGATCTGAGCGGGAGGTCAATGCGATGAAGACGGCTCACGATCAACAGAGCGAGCAGGTTGAGGAGAATGAAGGGCAGACTCGACTCCAAAGAACCTCGCTGGAGTACGCACAACATCCAGTCAGTGGTTTAGACGCAGATGAGCAAAGCGACGCGACCAATGATCAGGTGCAACAAATGGAGGAGGATGACGACCTGACAGCCTGGCGGAGAGAGTGCGAGGAGCACTACAGTCAACTCAACAATTCTTCCTCTCAAGCTAGCATCGCGACAAACTCACCCGCGAGCTCGTCGAACGAGTGTGGTTCATTGATTCGCGAGCGAGCTGCTGAGGGTCAAGACAATACAGTCGAGCAAGGTCAAACACACCAACCACAGGATGAGCCCCACATCTTATACACGACGCTGCGACCGAGACCCACTCGACCTGCGATTCGATCCCCATACGAACATGTCTCCATCGATTCGCTCCCGATGCCGCTTATGCCACCCCAGACCAGCCCGGGCGGTATGCGCGATCAGACCGCGCGTTCAGAGGACGCGCGATTCGAATCACTCATACCGTCTCAGGTCGCTAACGCACCCGAACGCCCGAGGCGGCTCCTTGGAAACGTGCCGCGCGCATTCACTCTTGCGCTAGGTCAGAGCAGGAGACGATAGGACATGGACCTTGACTATCATCTTCGTATGTTATCGATCTTGAATCTTCACGCTGTAAGCTTATAAGCTGCACAGAATCTAGTGAGCGGCAGTCTGCAAATCCATCCCAGACTCGTTTGATCTCGCTTACTATGGTGTGTGCACGCTACTTCACGATCTCCAAGAGCATTTCGCTGATTTCAGATCCTTGAAGCTTGATTTAAGCTGTATGCCTTTGCGCACATCGCCCGCCCACGCGTTCCTGAAGTCGCCTCTCGCCGCTACCATCCGCTGCGCTCCTTGCCTTCGCTGTGCCCGTTTCCTTCGCGGCAGCTGGTGCCGTTATACATATCCTGCTTGGGACGCCCTTCTCCACCACATCGCAGCCCATTAGATATTTGAGCATACGTACCTTTAGCGCTTCGGTTCGGATTCCTCTGTATTGCATTCCAAATATAGCATTGCACTGCATAACATTGGACTACCGCAGTTATGAAATTGAAACGAAGTAGGAAAGGTAGCGTTGCCAGCTGGAGGATCTTCCTTGATTCGTGCAGTTACTGCACATCGTGTGCTCATATAGGGATTATCGGACGAGTCACTGGCACGTGTCATGCGTGTCGAGACGCGTCAGGACGCGTCGCATTGTAGTCCCTGCCCTGCAACTCTTCGACGTCAATGTGGCATACAGCGTAGCTACCGAACATTTCCTTTTCTCATTGTAACTGCTTTCACTGGACTCCTGAACGTGTGAAATCTCTCAGCGTTACTGCCAGCAAAAATCCCGCCTGAGCGGAACGAAAGACTCTACGGCGTGCGTTGCTTACGCCCTTGTAACCTTTGTCAAAAGGAGCAAGGAGCCATGTACTTCCGAGGAACCGTACAATGACGTGATTACTCGGTTGACAATTCTGCTCAGTCGCCAAGATGTGGCTTTTGGGATTCAAGCAGCTGGTGCACGCCAACGAGATTTCTTGGTATGATCACTGGCAACACGCCTATAGCTCTCTGATGTGGGACGTTCAAGAACATGATGCAATAGCCGTCGATTTTCGCTCTTCGTTGGCCAAATATGCAGACCGCGACAGCCACAATGGAATAGACGACGCACCTTCAGTGATCTTCACCGATGCTGGCCTCGCCAGACGATCCATCCTCTTCGTCTCACAACTGTTCATATTTCTCCGCTGCTGGGTTCTGAGTAACAACCAAAATTAAAGCCTCGGCAGTCATCAGCTGTCCAAGTGATGCTCTTCCGGCCGGCACATACGATTTCTCAACCTTGGGTAGTAATGATCCTTACGGGCATCAGCCACGCCCACAGTCACTGCTGCGTTTGCCAACCCGAGGGAATGGTTCAAGCGGTGCCCCTACGACCGGCACGAGCCTTGGAATCCAATGAATGAATGATCTTCGTAAAGAGAGTATTAATGAACGCATGGTTGGGCCCTTCGATCAATGGAGGAGCTTTGGACATGTTAATTGCTTCCATACAGGCAAAATCCACGCCAGAAGTTCGACTCTCGGATCAAGAGAACGGACAGCACGTTGCAGCGTAAGAAAGAGCCACTGTCGTCCAAGAACAATGACGCGTAACGCCAACCTTCACTTCGACTTGGTCATGGTTACCGCTATCACTATCACTCGCTCGTTATTCATTTCATACCCCTTGTTCTCCCAGTGCACCTGGCCACGCGTGGGTGGGAATCCGCATTGTCCTCAAATTTCGAAGACGCACCGTCGCAAGAATCATGAACACATGCACGGTGCACAATGCAGCTTGTATTGCGTTGGGCGGTATCGCAGAACCCACATATATGTGGCGTCTCCCTGATACTTTTAGACCGCCTTTGACCCAAACGACGACTCGTTGCAACCTCGAAGAAGACTCGACTTCGAACGTGAGTGTGCCTTCCACGCCGCGGGCTCTGTGCTAGGCGCTGACCGGTGCAGCCACAATCTGGTCTCCTCAAGACGACAACTACTCTAGCCGTACAATGGCCTCCGACACATCCACAAGATTGTGCGATTTTCACAAAAGAAGCACTCATACGAATCTTGAGGAGGGTACGAAATTCACAGCAATCCTGGTGCACCACAAAGACGCACCCGAAGGCCACGAAGAGCTTGAGGGCGTCTTTCCAGATTGCAATTGGACCGTTCCGGAGGTATGTCATATTCTCCTGAGTAAACGTATAGCATTAACGACCGCTCAGCATCCCGGTTCTACATGCCTCTCCCCGGAGAGTCCCACCCTGGGGATTAGGCCCATGGACACACCATGGCTCCAACCCTCAACCTCTAGTGAGCATAGACACAGACTCGTGCATGAGGACGGGCAGTTCGTGCAATACGCGCTGCCACAGGCAGAGAATCTGTTTGCGATTCCCTTCAACTATGCGCCATACGGCGCGCAGTTCCCGACCATCCGGCCTTGGGCGACACCAGTAGACCTACATCAAACGCACTCGACCTGGCTCAGCCAGTGCTACGCTGCATACTTATCGCATGTTGCGCCGCATAACGTAACCAGCGCTCCCGCACCTGGCCTGCAATATGCAGGGCAGGCATCTGAATTCACCAGCTACATCAACTACGACGACAACGTCGACGCCCCAGTGCCAGTGCCACGCGCTCCCCGAGTCAAGAAGCCTCGCTCTCACACTCGCACAGATGTTATCCGCCTGTGTGTCCATAGGAGATCCAATCTCAGGGAACCCGCCGCCTACAACTACAAATGCGGACATTGCGAGGCATGGTTCAGTCGCGCTTGCCAGCGCCAGCGCCGCATGAGGACCGGTTGCGCCAACGGCGAGCAGAAGGAATGGCAGTGTCCTCTCTGCCTTAAGATGTACTCGCGCACTGACTCGCGCGCGAGGCATTGCCGCAACCTGCACCACATATCGTACGAGGACGCGCTTGTGCTGGTCCGAAAGAGAATGGCCGATATAGTAACAAGTGCGAAGGAAGGCTCATTCGAACCACCCGCTGAGGATTAGACCTTTTCGCATCGCATCGTTCCTCTGACGTCCTCGCTGTCTCCGCTGATTTCTCTGCTCTTCCTGTGACTATTTCTCTGTCTTTCGTCTTCGTTGTCTATATCGTGATATATCTATTGTCATTCAGTCACTGCTCGATGAGTGAGCTGTGTGCTTACGTAGTATCTCAATGACAGTCGCTGTGGCTTCCATCACTGACATATGGGACTGCACAATAGCTGAGTGGAATGCAGATGTACTTTGTGCAATGATTGATAGTGAGACGCGGCGTTACTCTTTCATTCAACAGAAACCTGAGCGAGTAGCGCAGTATAGAGCCGAGCGATCCAGATGCAATGAATCCATAGACACCTGTCGAGGGTGAAGTCAGAGGGTAGAAGCTACAAGTCGTCTCAGATGAATCTGGTCGGCATCCGCCGAAACTCATCATCGCTGGAGCGCCAGGATGGGCAATCTTGAAGTTGTGAGCGACTCTACCGCTCATGGCTGGGACCCACACCAATAATCACCGTTGAAATCAACTGGCGTCGGATGACAAAAATAAGGCGACAAGCACAGGATCGTGGTAAGGGTACACGAGAGTATGACTATGGCCCCATGCGAGCATATATATTTTCAGAACTGTCTACATATGACGTTGATGGAAATATGAATCCCGCAGCCCGCATGACGGTATCATGGTCTCGATTGCCAAAATTTGTAGCTAAATTCTCGTCGTACCACAAGATGTTCAGTTATCCTATTACAGAAGTGGTAGTGACTCCACGACAGGTGTATAGCGAGTTCTTTGTCAAAAGAGCACCCGAAGAAGTGTTGAGTAAAGCAAGGGACACGAGAATGCCCTATGGGTGAAGAATAGCAGAGTAGCGGAAGTGTGCTTTATCTTACTTCTCGAGTTGGGAGATATGAGGGACATCTAAGACAGCGACTCACTAAAAGCACGCGCCACATCTTCCAATCTGCAGACAATATTGAACGTATTGAACTGAGAAGCGGTGGAGTAATTGAGTGGAAAGGAGAGCAAGAGTTGCTTTCAAAGTTGCACGCTTGAACCTCGCTGGAAAAGAAGGCGAGAAACAAGCAACAAGGATCTAGTGTTGTGAGCAGAAAGCCCAGAGGCCGGCTTCTTCCAACTATGAGCAGAACGACAATTGCCACTACCATCCTGAGCTCAGCCCATCTTCCACCTCTCTGTGCAGCGCTCGATTATGCCTGGGTTTCACAAACTCAGATTTGGCGATGGCCCCGCAACACTGCTTGTGGGACAAAGGCCAAATTCTGATCGTGCAGGACAGATTTGTCCGCAGGGCCAGAATGTGAGCCGACACCGAGCGTACAATTACCCAGAGGACAATGACACACAGCTGTAACAGCACAGCGCGCATCGAAATGGAGTCCCCTTTTTTTCTGCCGTACCCAGCATTGCAGCCATTTTATCCATCGGTGTAATCCCAGACGCCCTATCCGCGCAGGGGACAAGTTGCCGCCGACAACTTCCATGTGGCACGTGTTACTATATGACAGCATTGTGCTCGTCCGTACAAGGATGCCACATAGTGTGATGCGCCACTGGCTTGCCTTTGAAAACGCGCGGCGGGCCACAATGGAGCGCCGTTACTCGAGGTGGTCCCTTCTGCCGGCCGTCCACCCTGTGCGCGGCGTGGCTTGAGGACTTGAATGGGGGCTCGACGACGATGCCATGCTTTTAGCGGAGGAGAGCCAAGTCTCTTCTCAGCCTGAGCATACCATCGTCATCGGGGCCCTCACAGACGAGCCACGGTAAGGACGTGCGGCTCGGAGTACTTTGTCCAAGCAACATAGTCGTCGGCAATGGTGTGTCCCTGCACAGTGAGTGTTCCTACCTTGTGACAAAGATGGCTTGAATGCTAGAGGGCCCCACCCGCCGGTGTCGGATGTGGGGGTGCAAGCTGAGATGGCGAGAGTGGCGCTGGATCGCGGGGTTTATATAGACTGGTCGGAGGGCACATCCCGTGACGACAAGCCGTCAAAACCATTGTTCGCCTTTTGGATAAAGCAAGGTTGTGGGGGCCCAACCACGCACCGCGATGATCGGGAGGCCACTATACGTAGTATCCAGTCGCTCGAAGAAGCAGGTCGTGGCTCCAACAAGTAATAACTTGGTTGGCCGATGCGCTTGGTGGGCGTGCTTCGCCAGCCCGGGAAAAGTGCTAAATTTGGCAGTAAGTACTCAACTGGCTTTGTACAATGCCCGTCAATGGCTACCCTGAGATGACAGGTACACATAGGTCATAACAAGGAAAGGCGGTTTTCTTCCAATGCCACCGCCGTCCGGCTGCTGACGTGTCAATGACAAAGGTTCTGTTAGCTTCCGCCTATGACGGCAATTCAGCTGCAGCTAGGATGACTGGGCACCACCAGCGTGTCGTTGACGGCGTCGACTGCTGCGGCGCGAAGACACTTCCAAACAGTCCTCTCGCAGAGGTAGGGGAAGCCGTGCGATTTGATGCGCTGTGCCGTTGTTTCACGGCGAAGCTTGGTGTTGCAGGATGTTCTGGTCACCGGGGGGAGGCGCGGACGGCATCGCGGGGCTGATCTCCGCCGTCGTGGCTGTCAGTATTGGACGGAGGGCAATGATGAGACGAATGATGAGTCACCTAGTACTATGGATCCCTGATATGCTTCTTGGGTACGGGCGGTTTGTTCGGTGTTGGACTGTCAGAGCTATGAATCAGGACGGAAACAGGCCGTTCCCGCATCTCCCATGCAGACTGTGAGGTGATCAAACAGGCACTCATCTTTTGAGACAAGTGCTTGTGCGGCGTAGTAACCAGCTGCGAGGTGGCAAGTCGTGGTTAAGACTCTGTGCTGATGGGATAACATGACCTAGGTATCCTGCCAGACTGAGTTTCTTCAATCTGCGACACTGACCGCCCAGAAGAACTGGGTGCGTGTGACTTGTCGATCGAGCGCCCATGCATCCGCAATCGGGAACACACCTTCCAGTTCTGTCCCATACTTATGGCTGGTGTCGCATACAACTGTCTTCTACTTGAACACCTGCCAAGGTTGCCCTCTGACGTAGCAGAGAGGCTCGCAGTATAAAGGTGGGCGAGCATCGTCCGCAACCCGTCCCTTCTCCATCCCACCCTTGAAGCTTGAGCTTGAGACTCGGACGCCGTCCCACATGCCGAACGCAGACTCAGGTTAAAACAGCGACACATGGCGCGCGACGGTGCCGCCTTCCTGCCACTGAGGCCACTACACATCATGCCGACACTAGCGTCTGGTCGCATAAGCGGTACAGCTTCCGACTTCCTCCCTTCCGCGCCTACAGTCGCTGTACTGACTGGTTCTCCTTGGTCACAGAGCGTCAGCTGAGTAGTCAATAAGATGCATCCCACATTGCGCAGTCCGCAGTCTGGAAGTCGAGTGGTTGCAAGGTAGCGTGTCCGAAGTGCCCGCTGGTCGTGCTGGAAGAGGGCCGTGTCGCTTATCTAAGCGGCACGGCCAGCCCTGGATCCCCGATTCGTGATGCCAAGCGGGTGCCTGTGCTAAGAATAGCTGATGCACCGATCGAGCTTCATTGAAGGACAAGTGAGTAGTCGCTCTGCTGGCTGTCCCCTGGCTGTGCGGCCGCTGCTGCGCACCTCGTCCTTCCATCTCTTGTCTTGAACATATCCCGACACTCGCCGCGCATTCTCACCCCACCGCTCTGTCTCGTGGACGCCGCACACGACCACAGCCGTCTGCCCGCGCTTCGACTTCTAGAGGCTGACGGTTGCAATCACAGGTCCGGACGTAATCCGACGCAACTGCTGCGGCTCCGCCCACCACTTCCGCTGCCGTACAAGCCGTCTCTGTATGTCCTCCTCAGCCTCTCCCTCTAGCCCATTCTCACCGACCGCCTTCTGCCATTGCCAGCCTCCTGCCTGCGGGCCCATGTCCTGCTCTGCACAATGACCCTCCGCCCAGCAGCAGACTACATCGCCCTTGCTCCTCTCTCCGGCGGCAATGGCACCAGCCTGACCGCATCGCGTGCCGCCTCCCATACCCTCGCGTATCTTCTACGGCGGCGCGTTCTGTATGTCGTGTTGTTCGGGAGCGCCCTCCTCTCCCTCTTCGTCATCCTCCGCGGCGCACTGCACGAAATCGACATGGACATCGATCTTGACGAAGACCTCCTCGATATCGATCTCATGGACCTACTCCCGCCGAATACGTTCGAGTCGCTCCGTACTGCATACCTACCCTTCCGTGCTCCTCGGACACAGGTATCGCATAATGTGACGCTGCTCCCCGTGCGTGAGCTTAGCGGAGAGTGTGTTGAGGCTTACTTCAGCGAGGGTGCACCCTGCGGTGTATCAGGCGGGCAGCCAAAGCTCGATTTTCTCTGGACTTGGGTCAATGGCTCCGACCCGCTAGAGGATCAGGCAAAGAAGGCCGCGCAGGCCGCATTCGGTCCAACAGACCCCTGGAGACCCGCTGCGTCTGGCACGCAGGCTAGGATGTACCGGTGAGTTCCACTATCGTCCATCATACGGCCATTCGATTAATAGCCCGCATTTGTAGAGACCACGACGAGCTGCGACATTCGTTGCGGTCTGTGCTCGCAAATTTCCGGGGCTACGCAGGGCGTTTTTTCTTGCTCACCGCCGACTTTCCTTTACCGACAACAACGCCCAACTTGACACAGGCACTGCCGCCGGGCTGGCGCCTGGGCCAGATTCCGCAGTGGCTGGACATAGAAGCACGGACCGCGTGGGTAGACGGGGATGTGGGTCTGCAAGTTGTGCACCACGCGCAGGTCTTTCAGCCATATTTAGGCACGAATTTCAACAGGTGAGTGAGGAGGTCCTAGGACAAGATTGCTGATCGCTGAACTGTGTGGTGATAGCTTGGCGATCGAGAGCCAACTTGGGCACGTTGATGCCATTTCGGACCACTTGTGAGCTTCTCTTACCTCGTCTGCGCCATCGCACCGCCGCTGAGCCGTCTCTCCGTAGTGTATACATGGTAAGCCCTTTTCACGCAGCGTTCTTGCAGCCCCCTGAACCCACCTCGCAAAGAACGACGACCTGTACATGATGTCAGCCATGAACCCTGCCAGCTTCTATACCCCTGGTAAGTGATTTCTCTGTTTTCCCTCTATAGTGGCTCACCTGTTACAGCGTACGGCGTCGTGATTTACCTCCAGTCAGACCTCATGGTTGCGCCCACCCGTCCCAACGCGAAGACGCAGGGCGAGTGGCGTAGCATGGGCGAGTCCAACTACATACTCAGTGCGTTACTCTTCTTCGCCCCCTTCTCTCTTCTCACCGCCCTTTCCGTAGGCGAACGCTTCGGCCAACGGCATCGGCCATACGTCGTGCACGAAGCCAAGTCCGTGTCCCGGCCCCTGCTCGCTGAGGCTGCCGCGATCTGGCCCACTGCTTTCGCGCGCTCCGCGACGCACGCGTTCCGCGAGACCGCGGGGCCCGGCACCCCGTCGGACGTGAACACGATGTTCCTGCACGCGCACATGCTTGTTGAGCGCGCGCGCGAGGCGCTGCTCTGGACGTGGGTTGTCGCGCACGTCGGCACGCTCGACGACGGCTGGGGCGACGCAGAGGCGCGGCAGGCGTGGGCAGAGCTCGGCGGCGCGTGGGACGTACCCGAAGGGGGCAAGCGCGAGGTGGAGGTGAGGGCGGGGCGCCGGACGACGCTGGAGCGCGAGCGCGTGATGACCATGCTCGCGCAGGCCGGCGTGCCTGAGGGCCTGGGCAAGACTGCGTATGTCTTCTGTGCGTCTTCTATTTTCATACTGTCTCTGTTTGAGGCTGATCTAATATTGGATGTGGCTGTGGCTGTGGACCCCGTCGGCAGCTTCGTCCGACGGGTACGCGTACGCGACGCTCGGCACGAGGGGTCAGCAGAAGTGGCCTGCGTTCACGCCCGACGCGCCGGAGGACAAGCTGCCAAGTTGTCGCATCAGCTTTAGGCAGTGTTTCCCGGGGCACAGCCGCGCGTCTGAGGTGTTCAAGCACATTGCGTTCCGCGAGCTGCAATGTGGCGACTGCAGTGCGTGCCATTGCCTATGTTCGCTGTTCACGTTCCTTTCTGACGTCCCCTCCCACCCTTTGTCCATTGTGACCATCAGTCATCTCTGCGCTCATGCGCACAAGCGGCCCGCTTGGGCTCTCCACGTTCCTGCCCTCGCCCGACCGCGCCCTCGGGTCGCTCGCGGGCAAGCTGCCGTCCCTCCCTTTCGGCCTATCCTTTCCTGGCGCCGGCTCTGCATCGCCGGGCGACGAGCTCACAGTGGTCCCCCACCTGCCCCTTGTGGATAAGTGGGAGAACGGTGCGTTTGCCCTGCGCGACGTGATGGGAGCGACGGGCGAGCGGAACGTGCGCCGGTGGACTCTGTCGCTGCTGCAGCGATATCGCTACGTCATCGGTGAGTGCTCTCTTCCCCACCGCATCCCGCGCCTCGGCTCCCTCTTGTCTCGCAACGTGCTGACCCGACTGCAGCGACTACTCCCGCAATTTTTGAGCGCCTGCAGTCCCCGCGCCAGGCGGCGAGCATGCTCGCACGCGTCGACCGGAACAAGGAGGCCGCGCTGCTCTGTATCAACGACGATGTCGTTAGCGGCGACGCAGAGGTCGCAAAGACCTTCCGCGAGTGGCAGGACAAGCACTGGGGCACGCGGGCAAAGTGGGAGAAGTCATAGCAGCGAGCCTAGGAGGTCGCGGTACTGTACTATAATGACATGCGCCCGCCCGTCGCGCCGAGTGCGTCGCCGCGGGGGCTGGGCTGGAGGGCGGCGCGTGCTGCTGGGCTGTCTTTGTGGGACTTTCGATCTGTGTGCTGTGTGCGTTAGATGCTCGATCTACTCGGGGGTTGACTAGTGACTTGCTGTACAGTATACATGCCGTCCGTGCGCACACACCATAGCTGTTGTTTGATTTGGGGGCATTCACTTATTGGGGCAGGCCGCCGTCACATTCTCTCACGGCGTCGTAGGCAGTAGTGTAGTGGATTTGTACATTATGCATTAAGTAGCGGGCATAGGGGCCGTTCTCACACCTCATCAGAGCGCTAATGCACGTCTCAGGCTGTTACGGAACAGTATATTCTGGAGGACCGTCGCTACATAGTCTGCCCGGACCATAAGACAGCAATTCGAGCGTGCTAGCACTAGCCGGCTGATGGCCGGGTGTTGTCCGGGACGATCTCATCGGTCCTTTTATACCAGCAATGCCTCTGCTACTACGGCTTTCAACATCACTCGAGGAGAGTGGAAGATCAAAATACAACTATGTATTGCTAGTGAGCAGACGCATTTTGTGTGCTCCCCATCTCTGAGTCAGAGCCTGCGTTCGACACACTACTCGGCTGTCTTACAATTTGCACAGCTCTCCCACTGGCTATTCTTGGCCCTTCCTATGACAACCAACTCGCCTGCAGTACATGGTGCGGGAGGTGCCACACCAAGGCTTCAGCACGACGCGTCCACGCTGTGTATAGATCGCGACGACGCGTTTCGAACATGGAATCGGTTACGTAACTCCGAAATCGTGTCTTACTGTCCGGACCCCCTAAATCCAAATAGACTAGACCGCGTGGTTGTTGCAGTATCGACGCGACGCGGTTTGTTCATCACGCGACTCGCACTAGTCTCCCGTAGGCAGACCATAAATATAACGAACTTTTTTGTATGGGGCGACGATCGTTATATATAGGTCTGCTTTAAAACACGCCCCTCGCACCGTAAGACAGCATTTCAGACCTGTTTGCGATTGCCGGTTGATGGCCGAGCGATGCCGTTGTTCGCCGACAGTTCTTACCGCTAGATCGGTTCCCTTGACCTGCAGCGCATACCAGGTGTCTAGGTGCCATGAGCATGAAAATAATCATATAGCCTGTTTTCTCTGAGCATGTTGGAGTGATAGCCAGAATGTCTACGCCGTTCAGCGCTTTGCAGACACCTTCGAGCTGAAATTCATGTGGATCATATGACAGGCTGTTGGTTACGACTTTGCGACTAAGGCACAGCTGGCAGGCGAGCTGACCTGAAAGAATTCTCTAGGAGGGTGGTCTAGCATTACAAATAAATACTAATATTATATTAAAGATGGGTCGGCCGGGTATTGCATTCTCTAGCAGGCAAGCATGTTGGACGCGTCCTTAGGCGCTGCGACGCGTCGCGTCATTCAAGATCTATACGACGCGTTTCGGAGATCAAAATGCTTATGTAACGCGAAATCGCGTCATACGGTTCGGACCCCTCAAATTGAGTCAGACTAGACTCGCACATATTGTGTGTATATTATGTAGCCAGTCTAATACCCGACAAATAGCCCGCTACCCCGAACGAGGAGACTCTCCTCCGATGCCGGTTGTTCACAAATGTTTTGTACCAGGGAGGTGGAGGAGAGTAAGGTCGTGGAGTTTGAAGGTGGACGGAGATTTGAGCGGATATCACAGAATTGTGGCTGAGGTGTGGCGCGGGGAACGGCTGGTATGGGCCCCCCACCTCCCGGAGACGGCGGGAAGGAGCCTATTGTGGAGTTTGGAAATGAGCGAGGACCAGGACTTGATCGGATATCACAGGATTGTGGCTGAGGTGTAGCGCGGGGAACAGTGGAGGAGAATAAGAATGAAGGTGAGCGAGGACCAGGGTTTGATCGGATATCACAGAATTGTTGCCGAGGCGTGGCGCGGGGACAGATTGGTACGGGCCTCCCACCTCCCGGTGACGGCGGGAGGGAGCATATTGTGGAGTTTGGATGTGAGCGAGGTCCAGGATTTGATCGGATATCACAGAATTGTGGTCGAGGTGTGGCACGGGGAACGGCTGGTATATATGTCATTTGGTATTCGGATAGGCCCTCCACCTCCCGGAGACGGCGGGAAGGAGACTGTGTCGAACCACCATGATCAGGCCCGGGGCTCAGTCCGAGCCAAGCCTGAGCCTGGCCCGGCCCCAGGAGCAGGCCCGCAAGGGCCTTGCGCCCGCGCAGGGCACTGGGCAACGCTAGTTGCGGGCGGTTCCCCTCAGATTGCCGAGGGTTGGTTGTGATACTGTTATCCGCATCTATGAGGGTACGTGTTCCATTCGCACGGTTGATGAGGTCTGGCCAGATATCCGGCGAGCGATACACTGATACGGTGGGCCTATCGTCGTTTATGTCGGGCTCTGTTGCACCTTCAGGTTCGGTTGTGTCTTCATGTTCAATCACGCCTTCATGTACGGTCGCGTCTTCATGTACGATCGCGTCTTCATGTACGGTCGCGTCTTCATGTTCGGTGGCGCCTTCTTGCTCGATCACGCCTTCACATTCGCTCGTGCCTTCATGTTCACTACCATCGCCGATAACCTAAACACTATGAGGCCGAATTAGAGTAAGGGTATGGCGAAGGCACATACATTTATGTGAAGCCGTCGGAAGAATTTCAATACATCGTTAAGACTTTCTTGTTCGACTTCCGGCGGCTGTGGCAGCGGCTCATTGCCAGGACGTCTATCCACAATATGGCGTGAGATTCGGTGAGGTACATATCAAATACGGGAAGAGAACGTGCATTATGTCTTCTTCGCCCATAGACACATGAGAACGCCCTTCGCATCTTGGACTGTAAGGCTCCTTGTCAGCCCATGAATGTCGTGTCCATCTAGACAGGGCTACGCTTACCAGTCTCGCCAACCATGCTCATCCGGCGATGTCAATGAAAGAGATCCACACCGAGGACAAACATCTCCTGTGGGGACGTTCATCGCTATGGTCATCGTGAACTCCGCTCCATCTGTTACCGTGAGTGTCCACTGTGGGGGGCGGATGATCCGCTCAAGCTCGTCACCCTGGTCCCGCGTAAGCACAAGTGACATGATGTAGTCGCCGCGTTGAACGAAGCTGTGACCGATCATTGCTTCTCTGGTATTTTTGCCGCGGAAGTGAACTTGTAACAAGTGATGAAAGAGCTAGTCCTGAGAATGAGGTAGCATCTCAAGCACAATGAACATCAGACGTACACCCCAATTCTTGAAATGCTCAGTGGGTAGCACCAAACGCTTTCCAAGAGCGTCCGTGACTCCGAAACTATTTCCTTCTCCACGCACGACAATCGGAGCTATCTGCTGAACCGTCCTGATAAGCTCGCGGGTATGAGTATCCATTCTGTTCGTCGTATCCTTGAACGACCACAACAGCATGTCTCTGTAGGCCTGGATTAGAAGATTCTCATAGTCTCAACACGGCATTTGCCTACCCGATGATAGCCATAAATTGCAGCAAAGCACCGCCCTGTGCGGCCTCAAGCTCTGTCCTGAACTTCGCTACGCGAGGCCTTCCTCGGAGGTACCATACAACCTTGTGATAAGTTCGCTTCGACAGGATCTTGCCCTTTTCTGTACCCAGGGTTTTCTCGTATTTACCAAACTTGAGCTGCCATTTCCGTGCTAGCTCCGTCCAACCCTTGATGTCTTGCTTTAAAGCGACAGCGTGAGGGCTAGCCGTCTCTGGGAAAGACGCAATCACTTCTTCTACGGCTTGCATATGGACACTGAACCGTCGCAAGTCAGCGGCGACATCTTGATATTCTGCAGTCGAGCCGCGTATTTCGTCAAGAGCCGTGTAGAGATCTTTCAGAACACGGGCCAGTTCAATGATATCCGTAACGGTGCCTAGAGTGACAACTGGCATGATTGAGAATGTGAGGGACTGAAAAGCGAGCTGGAATCATGGCAGACGAGCTGAGAGGCAGAAGTCTTAAGTAACCGAGACAGGTAAAAAGGAAATAACGGCGAGACAAGGGGTCACTCCTTCGGTTCACATGCCTTATGACACGCAACACGTGCCTGCGAGAATTGTAGTTGCTTGTGGGTCCACCCACATCGCTGAGCGCCGGTGATAAGCTGATGGTTTAATTTATGCAAGCAGGTGCAGCTGTTGAACGGACACATTATTGACTTGATAGAAACATAGCAGTTTACGAAACCTGGCCCCGATGAAAATCCTGTAGCATGTTTTGCCCCAGCAGTCAGTCATATCCCTCTTGAACAAGTGTAGACTTCACCTGTAGCCCCGCGTGATGCAATGTGACGCCGTGGGACCTCTCACGAGAAGTGCACTCTTGTTCCTTATCAAGCACAATTCTCTTCTCTTCTTCATGACGATGGATTTTAAATAGAATATAATGCCAGGAGGAGCATTTCTAAGACGAACAATGGATACGCAGGAATCCTGAACCAGCGACGTTGTTGGAGCCATAAGGAACTCATCGCCTCAGATAGAGTATGCGCACCCTATTTGGATTTGTGTTGTCGCGGAAATAGATAAAGACTGTTAAGAGAGAGATTGGAGGGTGCCGTTCGGCTTCGAAAAGTATCCAAGTAATTAATCACTGGACCACAAACATCAAACAGGGAGACAAGGTTTTTTAAAAAAGGTGCCGCCCAGATAGTAATTCCACCGCCACCATGCTAGCATTGATTTTTGCTTATAAAAACGGGTTAAGGGGCAGGCTCAGCGGCCCCCATGCTTGCACAAACGTTCCACAGGGGTAACCAAACTCGTGGTTTTCGAGGACAGGAGTTGAGGTGGACGAATTGGGAGAAACACACAGCGCACGAAAATATTCATCCAGACTGAGGGACTAAACGATAGCTAACGTTGAACTTCAACGAAGGAACATGAAGATCACTTAAGGTTTGATTTACCGGAAACATCCGAAGCGTCTGAGCGGCGAGACGCCACAACTTGAGACGCGTCTCCCACCGAGCCTGTCGACTTCGCCGGCCTTATGTCTAATGTCTTAAGATAGAACGATCCATAATGTATGATTAAGCTCCGACAAGCATGTAAGTCCCGCCAATCGGATCACCCATCCCTATGGCCCTGACGAACGCGCTCATGTCCCAGTTGTAGCGCGACGTGTTCGTAGTGATAAGTGTCTGTCCAGAAAAATCTGTGGGCTGTTCATATACAAGTAACACATATCTATATTTTGAGCGGAATTATATTCAGCCGATGTTATGATGCCAGTGTTGGACTAAGACTACGTACCGGTGAGGAGCTACACTATCGGGCGCAGGCGATACCCAACTTGACACAGGTTTAGTGAGATTACCGAGCAGGAATGCACCCAGCGGTGTGAAGTCTAGAGGCACGTAGTCGCCTCCTAGGAAGTGTCGATAGGGCCCAAGGTATGGGTCCGAGGGCGACGGCACATCAAGGTCCACCATTATGACCACAAAATCCTTCGAAAGAGCTGGCCCGACAAGAGCAAATACGGGCTCGAGTGCAACAGCTGGAGGATTAGTATCAGAACCAGTAGCAGCATGATATATAATATCAAGAGAAAAGGTCATACCAGCAACGCTCAAATTCGTTCCCGGTGTGTATAGCACGATAGATAGCGAGGACGACTCCTGAGGGAAGATAACTTGTAGGAACACACTGGGGTTGAAGGTGAGGTTGGCATCTTGTGGAATCTACACGGATTCAGACCGGTCCTAAGGGGACGCATGCAGGATGCGGACGTACATCGGCTTCGTAAAAGGCCTGGCGCACGTCAGCGAGCGTCAAGGAGGCATCTAGTCCGCGGACGAGGAGAGCATTGGTGAACAACAACAAGAAATTTATGAGAGGTGTAATGCTGAACATCTTGGAGCCTTGGATCAGTGGACGGACAAGTTAATGCTGCCTTCATATCGCCATTTATATACCTCGAGGATAGCTCTCTTAAGAGGCGAAGATCCACCTCGAGTGAAACTTCGAATGTTTTAGGGGGCCTGAACTTTTAACCTGCGGCGTCATAAAACCATGCTTGCATATAATGGCTTCTCTGGTCCTTTTCGGGCTTCCACGCCACTCATGTTTTGTTCCGCATTGCTATATAACAGGTTGGACCACCTCGGGTATAGCGATCTCGGGTGTAATTGGCCTCATTGCGATACTTCCATTCCTTCTACCTATTCTCGCCTTTGTTAAGAGAGTCTGGCCAGGTTCTATACCTCGCACATTGTGCATGGTACTTATGAGCAGCCCGATCTTCCCACAAGGGCTCTTTTCTAGTCCGAAAGCCACTGCACGAAAGTTTCACAAGTATTGAACGTTCACTAGCAGGTAATGGAAGCACAGCATGATGCACGACATACAAAATAAGAAATCGCACCCTGCCACTGGAGCGACATAGTGTCAAACCCGCTCAGCAGGAGGCCCCTGCGTCTGTCGAGGTCTTCTGTGACATAGATGGATAACAATTCACAGATCAGCACGCACGAGTAATGCGTATATATATTTAACGAATATAGAGACCTGCCCGCACCAATAGGACTGTTTAATCACGGATATCGGAAATGAAGACGGTTGTATGCTGAATGGTGGACAAGGCTTCGAGGCAGTCTACTTTCCCACCATTCATAGGAGAGGCTGGACTTCATATACGCATAGGCGGGCGGCGGGCCGGAATCGTGCGTTGATTCGGCAATGTGATACGTGTTCGCCTGAGAACATGTCGAGCGGGAAACATAGTTGCTCAATTCAAGGACGGAATCTGACAAAAAGACCGCGATGATGATACGGCGCGCTGAGTGAGGAAACAGCTCCTCGGTTGTAAACCGGGACACCGCAAAAATCCGCACTTTAGAAGTCAATGTTCGAAACGCACTTCTCTCTTGAACAAACCCGTCAGAGTCACTTCGGTTTTCCCTCAAGCCACTTGCACAGCTTCTTGCACCATAATAGCCCTGTTCAATTGTAGGTGACGTGTGATATGTCAGCGGTCATTCACATAGCTAGTGTTTCCATACCCTGCAGGCTACGATCATTGTTAATGTTTTGGAAGAATGCGTAATTCGTGTAGTTACATATTGGTGAAGCGTATGTTCCAATTTCGAGCTCGAGTATTTGGAGCGCCCACTTGTTGTCGATCGGATAATGGTTGATTTCGGAATGCCCATGCATAAAGTATTGTAATTTACTATGTATTTACTAAAGTAAAAGGAGTTTGCGATGAATGCAATGTCCACGAGCAAAGGCGACTTTGTTGGATGCACGGCTACTGCTTATAAGCCTTCACCTCTTCCTCGAGCCAATTCCACAACCTCTCGCCAAGTGCATTATCGTATGCTTCCGACCTGCAGGGTGCAACCCTCGCCGTGGGGACCAGATACTAGAAAAGAGAAACCCATCGATGAGTGCACAATTAAGGTGAACAATTAGACCGGCACAACCTCGCCATTGTGGTTCACTGCCTCGGGCATGGTACCCGCCCACAGCTGCGTCAGCGCGCCAAAGGGCGCAGGGCGCAGCGTAAAGTCCATCTATCAGAGGCACCGCCGGCAGCCGTCAGCATAGAATGTTGTCGAGCCAATAAGTCACCTACGAAATTGCGTGCTAGCACCCCGACTAGACCTTCACGGTCGCGTACGTGGCGTTGTAAGTCAGTCTTGATACCTCCTGCGGGAATCATCAACATTCATGATCCATAAAAGATAGGAAGTCACGCACCCGGGTCCAAGGAGAGGGAGATAATACCCTTGTCTGCGTACCGCTTAGCGATTTGCCGCGCCACCACGACGTTTGCCTACGGACATGCACTCGACAGTTAGAGCGGAGGACATTGTGGGGCAAAAGCGATAGGACGCACAAATTTGCTCTGGGAGTATAGCGTACTAGTGCTCAGCTTACGACGCGCAGGGCCGTCCTTCAGGCTTTCCCAATGGATGGTATCAAACATAGCAGCTGACGAAGAAGTCGTGATGATGCGCGCGTGGTGATCAGGGGACGTCTGTACACCAGCGAGCAGTGCAGGCATGAGGAGTTCGGTGAACAGGAAGTGACCTGCAAATGAGAAATCGTTAATATGCACATAGCATACATGCCACAAAGAAAAGCTTACCGACGACATTAGTTCCAAACTGTAAGTCGTAGCCATCGGCGGTTGTCATATCAATGGGAGGCACCATGACACCGCTGGAAGGCGGCCAACCATCAGGTCTAAGGACAATGTACAAGATATGAATAGTCAAACTTACGCGTTATTGAACAGGATATGTAACTCGTGCTCTTTGCTGAACGCGGCCTCAACATTGGACACATAAATCACAGGCTAGTAAGAGATACGTACCTCAAGAATTCATCTGCTGCTTTGCGTACGGCCGCGAGATTCCCGAGGTCCAGTTCCAGGAAAATGGCCTCTTTGCCGGTCTCCTCCTTCAAGCCTTTGATGGCCTCTTCTGCCTTGGACTTACTCCTTGCTGCTAGGTATACCTTTGCATTTTTTTCGAGGAGCACCTAGTCACACTGCGTTTGTAGCCTTTCCGCCCCAAACTCGACCAGAAGCACTCACCTTGACAGTTTCTCTGCCTATCCCAGCGTTCCCGCCTAGGCGATGATTAGTCTCGTCTGCAGTTTAACGGATACTAGAGCCAACGCACCTGTAACGATCACCACACGCCCTGCGAGGTCGGATATCTGGTCTGCTCTGAACGTTCCGCTCGGAAAGAGGATACGCCAAAACACCATGCCCGCATATTGCAGTTCAGTAAGGAAACCCATGGCTTTGAAGGGATGAAAGCAGGGTAGGGTCGCGGTAAGCGTGCAGCCTTGGATTTGGAGAGCTGTTTGTCAGGATCATAGGCACTACACTGTCGGCCTTTTCTATCATGCCCAAGTACCGCCGAGCGACGCGTAATCATTCCATGAAAATCGACATGTTCCCGGCGGACGAAGTAACCGCGGGTCGCGTTATCACTTGGCGGTCGTCCCGCTGCCGATAAGACGCGTCAAGGACACGGTCACGTGGAGCCTCATATTGCCGGCGACGGCATCGAGCGGCGCCCCGGGCATACCTGGCCACACGATGTTTGCTACGTCTACTCGTGCGGTGGACATATGTTTTACTGCCTTACATTGTGCTAGCGAATGTTGTTTGTGCTGCTTGGCCTCTGCGCTACTTTTTGGCTGTCTATTCCTGCCTCCCATCTCCCACAAAGTGGTCGCAACACACGCACGAGGCAGCGAAGTGAAGTCTGCAATTATATTTGGGAAAGTTGGCAATGGTATATATCCTTGAGGTTCCATGATACAAAACAGGCATCGGAATACAGCAGTACAATACTTACATGCAATATGGCAACAGAGTACAACATACGAACATGGGACGAAACATGAAAGTGCAATGAGTTGTAGTTGTAGGCGGGCGCGTTGCGTTACAACCTTTCTTCGCTGGCAGACAAAGAGGCTGAGTTTGAGAGGCCCGAACGGGCAACGTTGAGCAGGAAGCGTTCCACGACCAGCTTCCCACGACGGAGGTTTGCGAGCGAAATACGCTCGTCGGGAAGATGGGCTTGGTCCTGTGCAGATCAGGTCAGCCTTCAGGGTCCCCCGATAATGACGCATCAGCACGTACTGTACTTTGACCGAGAGGCAGATGCAGCGCATGGCAGGAAAACTCCTTCTCCAGGTACGGAATAGACGGTATGGACTGACATGCAGAAAAGACCATCAGCGCAGTCCAGGGTTCACGAGAACAGACTGGCGACGTACCCCGCCCTCCCGTATACGCAAGGGCTGCACGCCCCATTCGTCCCGAACGGCATCCTCCAGGGCATGGAACCATGGGTCGTCCAAGTTGCCTAGCCACCAATCTGCAGTATGGTCTATGCTGACCTGGAAGGGACGTCAATTACCAGGTAATATCCTAGTGCGCTGACCTACATTTAGTTTGTTGGGAGATTCCATCCGGCCGAATGTAGCAGTAAGATGCTCTCGGAGCGACCTTGCAATCGTCTCGAGGTCCTGATCTGGGACGATGCGGACGGAAACATGCGCCTTCACACTAGCAGGAATGACGGTCGAATCTGGCGCACAAAGTTAGCCAATACTTCAGTATCCATCCTCCTGTTCACTCACTTCGCGGACCCGATACCTGCACATTGTGAATAGTGAGGGACGGCTCACGCCACCGAGACGCCAGCAGCGCTGTGGGTGTCTGCGTGACGCCAGACAGAACCGTGTACACTTGCTGCTCCTCTGGCGTCAGAGGACGGACGCTGTCATCTGGCAGACGCATCGGTGGATCGTAATCTATGAATACACAGATGACGCACAGAATCCCGGGATAGTCACACGGTGCTGCCCGTCGATCAGTGTGCCGAGAATTTTGACCCTGCACGAAGGTTTGAGCGCACGGCTCGCAATGTTTACGTGAGGTCATGAGAGGGCTCACATATCGAGCATGGGCTCAACCGCAGCGCCACCATCGACACCGGAATGACGATCCGGGCCATCACTGGACACCTACGCATATAGCATCAACATAAATTCCACGACTCTATCTTGCGCTACTCACCTCGACGTTGCAATGCACAACACCGCGCAAGCCATACGTGATGCAGGGCGTGTCCTCCGCGATCCACGTCGAGTTGCTGCGATCACACACATAAACACCCGCAGCAGCGTGCGAGCCGGAAGCCAGAAGCACGCACCTCACAAGTATAGCGTCGATGGGCCCGATCGCGTCCTGTCACACGGAGAAGGTCGGTTATCTCACCGGCCTGAGAACACCAGCCAGCGCGCCGGCCATATCATACGCACCTTGTGTTTTCGCACCGCCTCCTTGAACCCACCACTGCCTGCCTCTTCCTCGCCCTCGATGACGAAGATCAGGTCGAGCTCGAGCGCGCGCCGGCTGAGCAGGTCGGCGGCGGCGCAGGCCACGGCCATAATCGGGCCCTTGTTGTCCGTCGCGCCGCGGCCATACAGGTACCCATTCCGCCCTGTCAAGGAGAAGGGATCGGAGGACCATCCTCGCGCGGAGGCAGCGATCACGTCATAGTGGCTGAAACACAAATCAGCAGACGTCACGCAGGAAAGACAGGCCAGGCATACCCATAGAACAATATCCGCGGCCGGTTGCGCTTGGTTTGGGTGCCATGGAAAGTCGCGAGGACCAACGGGTTGGTGCCATCTCCGGTGGGTAGCTATCAATGCCAGGACGGTCGTCAGCGACAACTCGAGGAGCCGTAGAATTTCTCTACCAGGGATGCCTCGGCCCCCAACTGCGTCAGACACTTGCGCAACCAGATGGCCGCCTGGCGACAGTCTTCGCGATGGGCAGCCGAATTGCTGACACTTGGTATGGACACAAACTTGGACAGTGCGTACACCATCGTCTCTGCTCACGAAGCTGTCAGGCATGCAGGTCGATCGCGATCTGCTGCACGCACCGTTGCCATAATCGCCTGCGTCGGCATCCGAGTCTGAGATGATCGGGAGCGGGCTGATCTTCGGCGGTGCAGGAGGCTCGATTTCCCAAACCTGCGCGGGAGTTTCAGATCCGTCAAAGGCCGCTGCGCACTGAGAAGATCAAGGCGAACCTTGATGTGGTCGTCGCTCGCGCCCGTGATAAATGCGAATTTCCGGGCATTGCTACTGACGCGAGACTCGGATGTGTCATCGAGCTCAAGGCCGGATAATGAATCGGAGGGGAAGCGAGTAACTATGGAGGACAGGACGATGCCACCATGTGCCTTCCAGGAAGCAGTGAGATTGAAAGTCGCAGACCAGCGCTAGGGGCAGACATACAATGTCAGACCATCGGAAGGGGGATTAGGAATCAACCATACCTGCACTTCGCCGTTCGCGGAACATGCATACAGATCAGAATGCAGCATGGAAAGTGACAGAATATCCACATTCTGTGGTCATGGTGGGTTCGTCAGCAGTTGCCCAAAAGCTCAAATGTCATGGGGCGGCGACATACCTCGACGACGATGAGGCTGCGCACCAGGGTGCGAGTTTCCAGGTCCCACACCTTAACATGGCCATCCTGGCAGCCCGCGTACACCGTCTCGGCGCGAGCCACGAGGGACAGCACGGCCCCAGTCGCACACTCAAACGTATGCAGCAGAATTGGGACGGGATTGGCAGGGTCGAGCTTCCACAGCTGATAATGCACGATCACGCGGATCCGACATCAGATCGAGAAGCGCCCGATGGACACTCGGTCTCCTTACCTTGACGGCCTCGTCTCCGCTGCCCGTCACCAGCTGCAGGTCGTGCTTCTCGCTTACCCGATGCGGCAGGTCGTCGGATCCCTCCCGCGTGCTCGGCACCAGCGCCATGCAATACACGTACCCGTAATGCGCCGAGTAGATCACGTTCGACGGGGCCACCTGCAGCACTGCGAGCGGCCGCTGAGGGGGCTCCTGCCGCAGACACTGCGTACCGTGCGCCGGCGAGCCGGCCGCGCTCGGGAGCGAGGAGGACGATGAGGGCGGCGTGGGGGGGAGCGAGATGTGGGAGGTCGACGGGTTGCGCGCGTTGAGGTCGGCAGGGCGGCGGGTGTACTGCGGGTAGCTGTCGAAGAACTTGTGCACGCGACGCGAAGTCGGCGTGGATCGGCCGCTCGTTGATGGCGAATCCAGGAGGGGGTTTGCGCTCGACGAGGCATTTGATGAGGAGAGAGAAGGGAACGTGTACCACTGGAGGGACGTGTCCTGGCACCCGAAATAGAGCGTCTGCAGGGGGGGACACCAGACGAGGGAGAAGAGGTCACCGGCGTCGTCCTCGCCGTGCGGATTCAAGACGTAGAGGAGAGTTAGCGAGCGCGTGCTCCAGACCTAGGGACAAGGTAAGATGACGGACGCAGTGCCATGGCGGAGAATGCGTTACGGCAGAGGATCATGACGTACGCGGATTGTACTGTCGCCTGAAGCAGATCGCGATGGTAAGCAGACTTTTTGGATTCAGAGACGGAAGCGTACCCGAGGCGCTGAAGAGCCATTCCTGGTCCGGTGCGTATTCGAGAGCAAGAATGCTGCCGGTGTGCCCCCTGAGCGTGGTCTTCAGCTTCAGTGTGGTTTTGTCCCATACCTGAGGTTCACAGGGAAACTTTAGATGTAGCACTCAGCACCGCGAGGCGGCGTCACTGACCAAAATGTCGGCGCCTTGGCTTCCACTGTATATATGACTCGGGTCGGCCGCGAGGCTGAGCACGGACTTTTGCGCCTGGCGCAGCGAGTGGTAGAGCCTGGGGGGATGCTCAGCGGTGTCTGGCCTGCTGAGGGATGCTGCGTCGTCGCCATCGAGGGTGAGCACGGGCAACTGCGGGAGGGACGCGAGGAGGCACATGGGGGACGCAGTACGTACGGTGCGGGACCGTCGGGCTCGGGGGATCGAGCATCTCTTAAGTCAGTGGCGAGAAGCGGCGGCGGCAATGTTTTCTGACGATGGCAGGTCGGAAATGCGAGGTGACAGATTGGAGGATGTCGAATGGAATAATCAGCTGGGAGGAAGGGAAAGCCGCTGCCAGCTGCTGCCACTCGCAAGGCCAATCCACCGCGCTCGGTTCCATCCGCCGACCTGCACGCGACCGGACGCGTCCGTCACGCCGTGACCGTCGCGCTTGCCTTTCGCCATTCTGGCCTCACTTTACCTCACTCGCCCCGTCTTCTCTTCTCTCCTTCGCCGCTCTCCCAGTTCATTCATCCGCCAGAATGTCACTAGCTGCTACTACTCGCTTGACAGCAGTCACTCTCGAACGGACGCGCCACGCCATCCTGCGCCGATGCACACCCCAGCCACCTCCGTTGTCCAACTGACGCCATAATGATCAACTTTGCCTCACATCTCAGACCCGTCTCGTCGCAACGGCGCCCGCATGGGCGCGCCGTGCTCGGGGGCTAACGCAGCGCGAGGTGGGGCTATCATCCGTGTCCACAATTCACCGCAAAGCCTATATGTACGCTTGCATCGGACCACTCGCGGCCAGTGCCGGCCTGCCCGTCGCAAATTGGCTCTCTGTGGGGATGCAGCTTCTAGGCCATCCGAACTGCCCCCTGGACGTATCACAGTGCGCGTATTTACGCACACTGGCTCCGCGCCTCGTCCGGCTGACAAGACGCGTGCGCCTCCTACGTCACGGAAGGCGACGATACCGCCCCTTTGGGCGGACAAACAGGGCACAGAATGCACCATCAACGACAGATAGGACGGATCTCCTCCCGCCGAGACTGGTTATACGTCTTCATTGACCCACACGCGAATGAAGTGAAGGTTCCTAGTCTTGCGCTCTATCGATAGATGCGCATGATCTGCGCGTATGCGACAGATGGGCGTATTTACATAAGGTGTGACTCCTGCCTTTCTCGCTTCGTACGAACGCGGACCGCGGAGGCTTCCCATCAGTCACCGCGTCGCCGTCGCCGTCGCCCGAGACGGCTCTGGGTGCACCAAGAACGCTCGATAGCTGGTTCTCTGTTGTCTCGTGCCTATATGTGCATAGGGTTTGCGTGCGAGCCAGCCGGCGAGATCTGTCGCGGACACTACAGGTCTAGGTGCACACGACAACGCTTCCCCGCAAAAATAGCTCATCAAAGATCATAATCGAGCCGAGTGTAATCGGGTTCACGCCCCTGTGAACAACAGCTGTGACATCCCGTGACGCCTTTCCGATGCGCTACGTTCAGCACGCTCGAATGCTGTGCTGGAACCGTCTGGGAGACTCAGTCGTAGCCCAGCCGTGTCGGGTTCTCACAGGAAAAGCATACTGTGTGTCTGCACACGATCGTCCGTGTGTGCACTTCCGCTAGTGACGCATAGCCCCGGAAGGTCAGTAACAAATTCAGATTGTGAACCAAGTCTTCCCGCGATATGATGCGTTCAATAGTCTATCGCAAGATGTTCCCTGACCACGTGGTAAATAGATGCATGGCCACATCTTGACGAATTTGTTATGGTGCTGCGTTTCCACTGCTATCTCATGTCCGTAGTGCAGAGATATCGACATAGGACAGACATGTCAGCGACGGCACATAGAAAACAATGCGGTGCATGACGTAGTACCGGTGACCGACGGTGAATATTGCGAACGCGTGGTGGCCGGAGGTGTATTTAGCTCTCTCACAAAGCTAGATGAACAAGAAGGAAGTGTGGAGGTGAGATGAAACAACCTAAGTCCTGTGGTTAAAAGTACAAGACCGGTCAATTCACGGTCACTGCTATTCGAGGGCTCGTAGGCCTGATCTGACAAGACTTCCTGGGCTTAATGAATCGCCATAAAAGAAGCGAGAACCCTACTCACACATCATGCACGATGCAAGGATCAATCGGTCGTCACACGTTGAGTTGCTGTTCTGCTACGGGCACATCGTCATGCGCGACGGCGTCTCTTGCAAGCTCGCCCCCGTGCTCCTCCCATGTATGCCCTTCATCATTTTCGATACGGCCAGCTAGGGCATCGACCTGTGGTTCGCCTTCATCGTTCACGACGTCGTCAAAAAATCCCACACTCGAAAGCCAGGTGCTTCCAGCGCATGTGCCTGAGCTGGCGAGGGACGATGGCCGACTGTCAGGACCGTCCATGCGTTGTGCAGCAACTTCACCGAGGTGGAGAAGAAAATGAGAAATGAAGATTGATGATAACCTGCCATGACACAGTTGGTATATGCGGGGGTTCGGTATGCAGAGAAAATCACGAACACAGTAATGATCATAGGCAGATTATAAACGCTGTCTGCATTCTCTATGAAGACGACCAGCGCAAGAATATTCAATAATGAGATGCTCCTGTTGATCATGGTAAGCGGAGAGCCTTTAACGTTATTGCGTGGGTTTGCGTACAAGAAATATAAGATCCCTGTGGAAGATAGCCACGACTTAGCTGTCTTGGTGGAGATGGACGAGATGCTGAGCTCACCGTCGCGGAGCACGACTGCACATAGGCTAAGCCCTGTGAACCAGGCACTGAACACCCGTCTTTCGCCTGTGGATTTACGGGTCTCCAACATTCGATGCCAGGTTGCTCCCGCTACAATTAAGTCGGAGAGAATGAGCGGGACTCGAGACACGATTTCAACTACCTCAATATCAACGGCTGAGTCTCAAGTAGATTGAGATGAACGACCCACGTCTGTAGATGGCACGAATGCGGCGTCAGCAGTTGAAGGCGAGTAAGTGAACTCGGACTGCTTACAGAGTCCCAGTGGTATTGTTGTAGGGGATTTGTTGAACGCACCCGACATCATGTGATGTGAATGTTATCTTACTGGCCGCCGTTACATACTATGTAAATCATGTATTAACGAATGCACAGAAAGGCAGAGCAGATACTCACCATATTCGTCGCGATAGGCACCAGCCCAAAAAGTACCGTTGGTATCACAAGGCTTAATTTTCCGCCACTCACGGCGTGGGTACGCAGAGCAACGACCGCTGAGTCTATGTCATAATCGAAATATTCGATGCAAGTGCTGTTTTATTCACCTGCTGCCAGACCTGTTATCAAGGAGAATACAACCATAAAAGCATAGATTTGGAATGTACAACTGCAAGGAAGAAAGTTAGAGCAGAAAGAATGAGCTGTGGCAGGCCGTCAACCTCTGTGGGCACAAGACCTGTCAAAATGAAGTTCTTAGCAATAAGAGGGACGTACTAGTATGGAGTTGGAGGTAAAACAGTATGTGACAGCAAACGCGAATATGAAAAGTCGATTCAATGTGTAGAGCAGGGCAAGTCGCGAGCTACGATTTCGCAACAGGTGCTCATGGGTCGGGATTGTTGTGAGAAAGTCGTAGACGATGAGCGCCGAGTGGTGTAGCAATTCCTCCGATGTACTGATGCTCGTTGAACTACAATGAGGAGACTCACTGATGCATGCATAGAGCACACAAGTGTCTTGGGGACTGTCCAATAACAACTGCGTTAGGCCTACTTGTGCGCTGTGAAGGATTTCGTACTCACGTGTTTTCCACGGACGCGTACAGTTTGGATTCGATTTCGGACATCTGAGGATGCTAGAATAGTGTAATCCAGATGCCACAAGGGAGTTGAGTCAGGTCTGAGGCAAGAAAGACAACTCATATATAGCCCAAGCATTCGGCCCTTGGTTACACGTACCGCGACTGCGGAGGGGACGTCGGTGTACAATGAAAACTATCCCGCAGTTCGTCAGATGCCTCACCCACGCGTGGTGACAGTCATCTTTGCACAGCTTGCCCTGAGGTCGAACGCACAGGCGCTGCTTCGGGAATGATAACTCCAATTCCTCGGCAGGACGATCGCTTTGTGGCAGCTGCTCCTAATGAGGGCCCGAAATTTTGATCAGCATAGGATTGTCATACTTTCAGTCCATATGTAGTCTATAACATGATACAACAGACCGAAGTAACGTCTCGAGGACGTCAATGAGGAAAAAATTCGTGATGGAAGCATTTTTACGGAAGCGCGTCCCGAAGGGCGCATCCGTCGCATGTTGCCTGTCTGCCAACTCTCGAAGACAACCGGACCAAAATGTCTTCCCCCGCAAGCGACACCAGCTCCAGAGAGACAAGCATCCGCACATGTTCCCCTGATTCCTACTCCATCGTACTCCCCCTAGTGCCCGCGGGCTTCGGGGTTTTCTTCCATTCATGCTCGATTATCTTTGCCACGCCTTTACCTGAGGGCGACGGCCATGCATCCTTGTGGTGGAGACAAGCACCACTGAGACATAAATGCAGTTTGACTGCCGCCAGCATCTCTTCGTAAGCCAGAGGCGCACGTCCGGTCATCCACTCGCTACTTCCGATCTCACCCACCATCTTTCCTCAGTCTTCCTGTATGTATGCACCGAACAGAGCCCACACAACCGCAGAGCACCAAGCTACAGCGCCTCACCGGCGAACCTACTCATCACCAGCCGGAGCCCTAGCGCCTGACTCAGACATCTACTGCCAGGGAACCACACTCGGCGGTTGATTACACTGCCAGACCCGATCACGAATGATCGAGCGCTCATCATCGTCGAACGCGAGAACGAATCTCTGTTGCAACAAGACCGCCAAAAGCAGCCTCTTTTCCCACAGGAGTCACAAGTACGACGTGATGGGAGGAATCAGGAACCCACAGAGCTGTGCTTTGCAGAGATCTGAGCAAGGGAAAGGTACGGAACCAGCGGTACCGGTCGCCAGATCATAGGCAACTGAGCTCCGTACACGCAGTGGAGAGCATGACTGAACTGATCGGCGCGTAAGAAGAGCAGGGGCAAAGACGGCAAGATGAGCTCGAGGAAGCAGGTCTTTGCAGACCAACGGTTTCAGAGACTTCGACATTGATCATGACCGTCTTCAGAGGTCCCAGTTGGACACTGATGCCTGCCTAACACACCACTGCGTAGCCAAAGGTCAGGTGCAAGAGAACACAAGCAGAACGGGAATCAGATTACTAGTGTGCAGAGGGTGATCGCAGCCCGTCTTCCTGTGATAGAAGAGCAGGAGTTGGGGGCAGCAGAATAGACACGGAGGGACTATACGTACGGCAGAAGACCCGCCGTCGTACACCCGCCCCACCTGCCATACGGACTTCCAGGCCTGAAGTGCATACATCACTCGTCCGCTCCTGTCTGATCGCACATGTGTCCTCGAACTCTCCCAAGGTCTCTATCCATCTCACGCCCACGTAGTGCCTTCCTGTTCGTTCCCTTGATGTCCGGGCAAAAAAGCACAACATTCCGTAGTTCCGACAGCCAGTAAGCCACGAAGCCATGTAGTTTCGCTGCGCTAGCCAGCGCTTCCAGGCTCCAGTCCCCGCCTTGCTGCCTCGGAGGAAGCAGCAGTAGGATGGAACAGCCTGCGGCGAGCAGAAAGCTACGCAAATATCGCCGGGAGTGAGCCGGGCCCTACGGCCCGACTGCTGGATGTGAGTCAAAGACTCGAGCTGTCACGCATGCTGTGTGATGCGCTCATATTGGGGAGTGGGCTCATCTGGCCCAAACCTAAGCATGCCTTGCAGACATTCAAGATGCGCAAGCGATTATGATCAAGCAGAAAAGAGCAATGCTGAGCACGTTTGACCTGAGATAAGTCTGTGCGTGGCCCATTCTGCCTCGCCACTGTGCACATACCACCTGCCAGAATGTACGCGACTCACTCAGTCCTCATGACGCGTGCATATAGTCCCGCGACACTTCTCTGGTGCCAACGCTGGAGCTCACTGCCTCCATGGGCGAGATCTCGCGCTTTCTGACATCGCCTTCCTCGATTCTATGTTTGGAGGCGCATGGAGCACCTCCTGTATGTAAGGTAGACAACCTGAAAACATGAACCAAGGGTCCCGAGGCGACACTGGCGGAGACCTGCGCGTATGACCCGCTGGACAGCAAATGAGCTGGTACCCAGACGCAGGCACTTTCCGGAGATGCGATTATGAATGCACTGAAGACGTCTTTGCGAGCAAAATGATCCGAGCCAATGGTATGATAAGCAAGCAACGAGGCATGACTGCATGAATCATAACCACCTTATAAGAACGCACCTCAGTCTACAGGCCGTGCCTGGCAAGGTGAGGTGGCACTACTCCGACTACCATGCCAGATGAGCTGTGACTCCCCAGAGCAGAATATGCGCACGAGACAGCCCCATAGGCACTTAGGGTTAGATTCCACTCTGGTTAAAGAGTGCATCATGTTGGCTAGAAGCAGCAACTCGGCCGTCGGCGAAATGTGTCTTTTCGCCGTAGACAGGGACCTGGAGCGATGAAGGTCATCGAAAGGACGCACGTGCAGGTGAGTGGAGGATATCCCCGGTATGAAGAGGCTCGTCGAATGCGGAGACCAGGAAGCGTCGTCGTTGAGATGAATGCAGTGTGTGTTGGGTGCGCCACAGTCTGGCGCGTTATGAACTTGTTTGATCATTTAAACGGAGCCTGAAAACGCGATTCGTCACGCTCACGTGAACCTGACATGTAACGCGATGGACTCTCAGCGCTTTGCTTCCGCCTCCGCGAACAACTTGCATGCTCCTGCCAGTGCCTCCCAGTCTTTCGACTTTCCCTATAAGTTGATCTTTTTATAAAAATGCCACTACATATGAGTACAGTACTCTCCAGGAGCATTCCAGAGATAATCGCTCATGTCTCACGGGTCCGCACCATGCATCCCTCTCATATCCCTCTTTTCACGCTGTCAGCAAGCACAGAACACCCCGCCCATGAACTATCTGCACTTGTCTCTCATCTTACCTCTCTGTCTGACCGCTCCATGGGATGTCTTTCCGCGCCCATACCTTGCTCCGAGTCGCAACATTTTTTGAGAGATTGCATCACTTGTTCCATTGCGATATTCGACACCCAAACGACAGTCCCGTTCAGGAGCACTATCCCTGGCAGACAGGCTGTGCAAGTAGGACGCTGGCATGCATTTCGCAAGAGCGATCAAGGCGAATCTGGTGCCGGCACTCAGCCAGAGGATCCCGAAGACCTTGATTGGGAGGATGTTTGGGCGAGGAAGACCTCGCCAACGAAGCTTCCCGCTGAGCTTTCAGAACTACCGTAAGTGCACTCACACTCGGAGATGCGGTGTAACTAAGCTGTGAAGAGAGTATGGAACAGGTGAAGACCGTTGTCTACCTCTCTGACGGCTCACCGGAGGGGTTATCTGCCTCTCTAGGCGCGTTCCCTTTCGCGACCAAGGTTTGTGGCATTTCTCACAAATGCATAGAATATCTTCTAGTTCTACTCTAGATCGGACTCATTGCTTCGTCCACACCATTTCTGACCGGGCGGCCTCACACTCTGTTCTATGGCAAATCTGTACACTCCAGTGGTGCCGTAGGACTCTGCGTCATGTCGCCTGTCCAACCCTCTGCCCATCTTCTGTTCCCCAATCTGGAACCTTTAACGAAGCCCATGTTCATTACCGAGTAAGCCAGAGCCACGTCCACGCGTGCAAAGGTTGATTTGAGAGTACATATATGCATTAGGTCCGAAGGCAACCTAATTCAATCGTTGGACAACTTGAATCCTTCGCGATTGCTACTGTCGGCTATTCATCAGCAGAACACCAAAACAAAATCCGCCGGCAACCTACCACACAGCGACATCATTACCAAAGATGATCACTTCTACATGGCTGTTCTTCGCGGTACTCCTGAAAGGCACCAAGTAGGATATACGACCCGCTTCTCCCGACGTTCTATACAGTTAATTTCAATACACTTTTCAGCTGCGACAGCTCTATCACATCACATCTGGGGATCCATCCCGAGGAACACTAGCCGTCGAAAGTGAGGCAGCTCCTCCGAGAAACACGCTCGTGCAGGCAGGTCATCATGCGTTAGCAACCATACCTCTCTACTTATGCATATAGAGTAGATATTCCGTCTGCCTGCGCATACGTCGCCGGACAGCCTATCTGCATACTTGTCACCTTCGACACATCAGTTAAGGATGGCGGTGACGGTAGCCCGGTCAGATTCCCTCTCAGATTACAACCCCGACAAGGACGCACATACTGTCGTCCTCCCTGACACGTTCCTGGCGGCGTCGGAAAACGGGTTCATGGTGGACCGCCGCGTGGACGATGCGAGCGCCGGTCCAAGGGAAGGTCCGTGGCTTTGCAAGATACCTGGCGGACTGTTCGAACTTCAGTGGAATTGACGGCTGAGCAGCACTAGCACGTAAGAAACCCTGTGATTATGTAAAGGATAGAATACTGTACTAAATCTTTGTGCTGTGCCAGTACCGCAGCTAGCAGACTGCTCATGCGGCGTGTGGCCGTAGAGATGGCATGCATAGACAAAGGCTCCCCCACGACAGCCTTAAACTGCATGGAAACATCATTTGAGGCCGAATAGGTACAAGATGTATTCGGACGTTGCCATCAGTGTGTTATTCTTCTCTGCCCTTTAGGACGAGTACAATCGCTAGGCAGATTTGATGAAGCGGAGCCACGCACGGTGTGTGCCTAGCTTGTGGCTCGAACTCCGCGATATATCCTGCAGTGGCACTGTAGCATGGCCAAAGCAACTAACGCCTGTGGCATTGTCGCGCATATATAAAGGCATTGTCTCGACGGCCGTCGTCCCCACATTTTCTCGCTCATCATGATTTCGTCTGACTCCTTCCCTTCTCCTTCTCCCATATCCCCCTCCTCGGATGATCACATTGGCACTCCCATCAGGTCACTCTCGATCGAAGACACGCCCGAAAAGCTGGCTTTCAAGCTGTTGATATCTGTCGAAGGGTTGCTATCTCTCGCAAGGAAATACGCACAAGTGAGAGGTGAGAGCCATGGGTGAGTGAAATCGTCGATTTTCTGAATGTGGCCCGCTCAAGTTGTCCCGTAGTGCTCAAGATGCTGGGACCATCGGCAGGCTGGGCCGTGTCGATAGGTTCATGCTCACGACCGCCGAACTCCTCAAGGTCTTGGCTATCTCAGTAGCCCTCATGGATCGTCCAGTTCCTTCGCGGTCCTCATTGAGACCTCAATTTGAGAAAGAATACTGTGCTCAACTGCCGAACATCTCGTCGGAGCTTGTTCTTGTCACTCCCGAAGCCTTGACGGCGACGGACCAGGTTCAGTCTCGTGTTGCCAAGGCCTTGTCCTCTGCAAGGCTGCATGTCCGCATGATAACTAAGGGTGACAAGTAAACATAGTCCTTGACCCCTCAACGGCTTGTTTATTGTTGACTTTTCCGCAGTGGCGAAAATGTTATATCCCAGCTCCGGTATGCCTTCATGCGTATCCTCGAGGCCTCGAGGCTAGTCCTAGGAAATGGCCACGGGAATATCACCATCAGACATAATTCCGTCTCCGAGGTTATATACACCGGTTATGAGCATCGCGAGGCGGCCTTCTTTAGGATCACAAACTCGGACGATTACTGTACGCTCATTCGCGAAGCCCTTGACATCGAGCACCTCGAGGTCGTCTTTGAAACAGGTCGTTTCAAGAACTTCGAACCTGGACTAACCTTCAATTCCAAGCAGGCAGAGTGTCTGAAGATCCTCTCCCTGCAACAATTTCTCCCGCTGGCTCCTAATGGCTACCCGAACCTGGTCAATCTCTGCTGCACGTCCTACCAGCTTGTAAACGAGTCGAGCCTGTCTCGATTCTTGAAACTGCCCAACTCGTGCCCCAATCTGAAGGGACTCGTCTTCCGGTCTTCCGGTCCGGCAATCCCTGTCTCCAAGGCCTCGAAGTTCTCTCTAGACCAGCCGGTTATTATGCGCAATCTTTATTCCATCGAGTTGAAGGACTGCAGCTGGCTGGTAGCCTCGTGCCTCTTGCGCCACCTCTCCCTTTGCGCCGATCATGTTCATATTCAGGCTCACGAGCTGAAAGCGTCCACTGCACCTCTTGAATGGTTTGAGGTCAAACATCTTCCAGTTGATCCGCTTTCTCAGCCAACATCAAAATGGCACATCGCTCCTAAGGGAACGTTGAGCGAATTCAACACCGAAATGGCAATTATTGGTCTGCATTCTATCTTCGATGGCCAGCCCGCCTTCCTGCAACACCTCGGCAAATTCACGGAAACAGTCGGGCTCTTCGTTGACGAGCGCGCTATCAAGATCAGATACCGCGGCGAGAAGGCTTCTCTTGATATGGAGATGACGTTGGATTCGCGGATACACCTACTGCAAGGATATGACAGATGGCTTGACTTCGTTGTATTCCTCCGCTGCACATTGAACTTGAATCTGGAGATGCATCTGACTTGAAGCTCTCTGCCTCATGCAGGTGGCCGTTCCATGCTTGAGGGATTCGTGTCTTTGACTGTTCAAAGAGTTGGACGCTCGACAGAAAACCCTGAGCATACGATTTATTTGTACTTACATTTGACTTACGCACATTCGTTGGATTATTTGATGGTAGTAATGCACTGAAGCGAATGGGTTCTGTATTCATCAATCGCATGGAACACCGGCGCTGAGAAGACCAGTTTGCCAAGTGACTGGGTAAATCGAATTTGACGAGGATTTTGACGAGATGAGCACGTGTGATCGAGTTGTTGCAACTGCAGTGCAAGCAGATTTGGCCGCATCATTCCCGCTTTCCACCTCGTCGATGTCGAGCCAGCACAGGTATTCGTAAATGTATACGTATCTCTGGTGTTGATGGATCCTTTTCTTGGTCTCTCTTGGTAGCAAATCCTCCATGGCTCGACACACCATCGCTTACTTTCTGAGGAAACGGGTCGCCTTCATCGCGGTGCTCTCTTTGTTCCTGTTCACCTTATTCCTCTTGCTTCAACGTGCTCTGTACGATGTCGATCAATGGGGCTTACCGCAGATAGACGCGACATCCTATATACCCTTCGAGGTTACATGGGATCTAGCTGCTTCGTCACCGAGGACATCGCTGAGGCCAATCATCGACCTGCCGACTTCATGTCATGAAGCTCATTTTTCTCGCGGGGAACTATGCAACCAGCAAGTTCCCTCCATAGACGTCCTCTGGACCTGGGTGAACGGGTCCGACATCCTGCTGGAGGAGGCGAAAGGCCTGGCTCAGAACCAATATGCATCAGACGACCCGTACAGACCATCCGCATCTATCATGCAGGCGCGGTTGTACCGGTAAGCGACCCCTGATCTATCTTGTCTGAATGATTGGGTCTAACGTGGCAATGCTTCAGCGAGCATGACGAATTGAGGCACTCGATGCGCTCTGTTCTCGATAACTTCCGTCCATACACCAGTCGCTTTCGCCTTTTAACCGCCGACTTCCCTATGCCAAGTGTCGTTGCTAATGAAAGCAACATAACCACACCGGACTCCTGGCGCCTGGGTCAAATCCCTCAGTGGCTCGACTTGCAGAGACAATCGGCACCAGGTGTTTGGCAAGATGGGCAGATAGAGCTGTCTGTGACACATCACGCCCAAGCATTTCGCCCGTACAACGGTACCAACTTCAATAGGTGTGTTGAACATGCAAACATCTGACTGTTTCAGCTGACGGCAGACGCAGTCTAGCCATCGAGTCTCAGTTTGATCATCTGGCAAATATCTCAGAGGTCTTGTAAGCAGATTAACCTGACCATCCACATGTTCCTTCTAATTCATCTGCGCAGTATCTATATGGTCAGAAAATGGACTGTCTGGTAATGCAATGACAAGTGCTCAACGCGTGTTGCTCCCAGAACGACGATCTATTTATGATGAACCCTCTGTCGCCTGTCAGTTTCTATACACCAGGTGAACCTTCTTGTGAGGTACCCTATGTATCTCGACTCATACGTGATGAGCAGCGTACGGCATCGTGCTTCACCTCCAGTCAAACCTGTTAGTCAAGCCCGAGAGGCTCTTTGGCAAAAATCAGGGGGAATGGCGCAGCCTAGGCGAGAGCAACTTCCTGTTGAGTAAGTGTTACCGAATCGCATACTGAGAAGTTGAGGGACTAACTACGAGCCGCACCAGGCCAACGCTTCGGTGCACGCTATCGGCCCTACGTCGCACACGAGGCCAAGACTGCCTCACGCGCGCTCCTGCACGAGATGGAGATGATGTGGCCGGGGTCGTTCGCGCGCACTGCGACGCATCGCTTTCGCGAGACGATGGCCGGTGACGGCGACGTAAACTCGATGTTCATGCATTCGCACTTCGTTGTGGAGCGCGCGCGCGAGGCGTTACTCTGGGCGTGGATTGTCGGCCGCATTGGTGGCCTCGATGACACGTGGGGGGAGCGTGAGGGCAGGCAGGCGTGGACAGAGCTTGGCGGTACATGGGGTGAGAACAGTTTGCTGGTGCAGAGCGGACACAGGGAGACGCTTGTGAAGAAGCGGGTGGAGCAGGCTTTGAAGGCGAGCGGGCTCAAGCCACAGAGTCTGACCTCGTATGCATTTTGTGAGCGTACATTCTACCAGATAAAGGACGACATTGGTGCTAACGACCGCGTAGCTTCATTGGATGGCTTTCCCTACTCTGGGTTAGGCATTAACGGGGCACCAAGCTTCCTGCGGTTCTCCCCGGACGTTGATGAGGGTCAGTTGCCACGGTGTAGGATCTCGTACGATGAATGCTTCGTCGTGAGAGACTACGAGGGAAACCCCAACTCCACAAGCGATGTGCTCAAGAACATTGCCTTCCGTCACACCCGATGCGGGGACTGCGGTACGCTTATTGTTGTGTGGACTTTAGGAACTCGACAATCTCACGAGTGTTCCAGTGATCATGGCCCTGGTAAAGGCAAGTGGACCCCTCGGCTTGTCTGCCTTCCTTCCTCCGCCGGAACGAAGCCTGGTTAGGGATGATCACTTATCCATGGAGTCGGATGTTCCCCACCTGCCTATCGTAGATGACTGGCAGCGAGGGGATTTCTCACTTCGCGCAGTCGCAGTGACGGAGCAGGACATCAACCTCAGACAATGGACGCTGCAACTCCTGCAACGGTACCGCTACGTGATAGGTACGTCGAGCTGCAAGACGTTGTCCATTGTCGGCTGATGCTTCAGTGAAGGGGACACACCGTCTATGTTCGAACGAATCTCAACGCCTCGACAAACGGACCTGATCATCAAAAGGGTCGAGAAGAATCGGAACGTCGCTCTGCTGTGTATAAACGACGATGTTGCTCGCCAAGATGACGAAGTGGGTCGAATATTGAAACGTTGGCTAGATAAACGCTGGAAGCGCATCGCAGCTTGGGAACGCCAGTGACACGCTGACCTTTCGCACCCAGTTGCCGGCTTGTAATCGTAAATATGAACGTACACTAACGCTGCTGTCTAGATGGTAATTGGATCAGGATACCCTTCTGTAACACGCTTTCTTGGTTTCAGCATTTATGCTAGCTTTGATTAGGGACAATCTAGGGACGTTTGTTTCAATGGGCAACAGTAATTGACCGGCTTCTGAACGAAGTGCGTTGACGCTGCACGTGGGATACGCATCATATAACGCCGAATAAGAGTATAATTCAGGAGAAGACAGGAAGAACATCATGGAGCAAGCTGGATGTGCCCACTATCCATGCGCCATTGATGTAGCCACGCGTAGTCTGCGCCGTCCTTTTTCAATGCCTTCTCTATCTTATTCAGCGTCCACGCCAGCCATGCCTTTTCCTTCGCCGAGTCCTTTGCGCGCTCCACAGGCTCAGTCGCGAGAGTCATTTTTTGTGGTTTGACCTTCTGCAGCATGTCCTTAAGGTGAGGTACCATCTCGCGCGCAATGGTCAGCGATTGGGGCGAGCCGTGTTTGAAGCATGCGGACGTGAGCATTGCGCAGGAGACGAGGTCGGAGGATATGGGCGGCAGGTTATAGACACTGAAGAGGGCTGCGAGCAGAATGGCATCCTGCAGTGGATGCTCGACGTGCAGGGAGTGCAAGAGGCGGCGAGCTGCTGGCAAAGAGCAGAGGTCGATGCCATACTTGGGGTGGTCGCTGAAGACTTTCAGCGCGAGGTCTGGGCAGTGCAACTCTTCGCAGCGACCTATGACGGGGGTTGAGAGGTTATGTCAAACCCTTCATGACCTTGAGACTCACGAATAAAGGCCTCTACGTTCGTTGCATCAAACTGTCGTTTCGAGTCTCTCCATCGGGGAAACAGCTCTACAACTTCGCCCATCTGCTCCTTGGTTGTAGCCAGACCGAATAGGTGTTGCCATGCTGTATTGCGCACAGGAGGTAGTTTGGCGGCCGGCTTCATTCCAATTCTGTCTGAGACGAATTGGCGTAGGTCATTAAACCTCTTGAGACGTTCCGCTGGGGTGAGCCTCCCACCGGCCGAGGGAGTCTCTGTCGCTTTGACGGCAGATTCAGATATTTCCTGGACACCATCGAAGCCGTCTCCGAATAACAGATCCTCAGATTCCTCAGAGCCAAAGAGACTCCCTTCGTCCGCTGAACCTGCCTTTTGCTTCTTCTTCAGAGCTGTCAACACGCTCGTGTCAATTCATTACTTGAGTAACATGCAAAGACATACCAATTGGTGTCTGGTGAAGTCCTCTTCTCACATGGGCAACCCGAGTTACATTCTGCACCAGGCGATGAGCACCACTGCGCCGTAGAGAGTGGATGATGCTGGCCATCCGTGCCGTTAAGCAAGCCTCGGACCTCACCTCGGGACGACAGGCAATAGAGCGTCACGTGACAGAGACACGACGCGTCACACTGTCACGATAATCACGTATATATCCCGTGAAAATTTGCCTCGTCTGGTCAACTTCTCCTTCTTCCTGCGCCCCGCGCGAGTACGTGGTATCGGTGAGTCTTTGTCTCTCGCTGGTTTTGTGATGAATCTATTGCTGTGCACCAGTCGGAACTCACTGAGTGTAAGACGAAACATACCCTGGTCCTCTATTTACGCTTGAGGACCCTGATTATTTTCGAACTTGTCTCTGGTCTTCGACATGTTTGCTGACTAGCTCCCTCAGGTTTTTGCGAACTGTATGCTTATTGCGTCACCATATTTGTACTTTGTTTTTATTTCTGAGGCATTGATATAATATTTTCGCTTGTGCCCACTGCCTACTCCTCGAGGGCGAACTATATCCGACACGGCGCACAGTGAGTATATCTTGCAGGTCAGTTCTGGGTTGTGGGCTCGGCGCCATAAGGTCACCGACAACGTGAGTCCCCGTGTGTTCCATATTCGCTTCTGAGTGACGAGTGAAACGATTCACATTATCAAGTGAATTCCAAGCTATGGAGGTACTCGTCGTAAATACAATGGCATCTGGTTACCCATATCAGGCTCGGACTTCACCCACGGGCGGGCAACCACGCTGTAAGGAAGGTCACGGCGACACGTAAGAAATGGCAAGAGCACTACAGAGGGGAATGAAATCACGTACTTTACTTTCTTCTCGATCTCAATGGATTCATCCATTAAGAATTCGATGTCGCGTACGAGCACAAAGAGGAAGATTTTGATCCTTCAGTACGTCCACATGAGCTTTTGTATTGGCCGGAGAACATAGTATCCACTCACTCGTTGATAGCGAAGCGGAAGCCGATGCAAGCTCTGGTTCCATAGGTGGAGTTCCCGTTCCCAAAAGTCAGCATGTTGGCCCATAGCCCGGGTGGTCCCGCACTCTTCTGTCCTCGACCGTGCTTCGTGTGGGTATTGTCCTGGCCCTTGTCGTTCCCTTCACTCGCCCATCGCTCTGGCCGGAATTCAGCCGCGTCGTCTCCCCAGACTTCTGTATTCTTATTCATGGCCTGGATTGGTATCGTAATGATATCGCCCTTTTTAACGTGGATGGAAGTGCGCACGCTCCCATGCCGGTCGTAGAACGGTTTGGAAACGGGGATGACGTCGTCTGCGCTGGCGACACGCATTGTGGAGGTGACAGGAGCGTGGAGACGCAAGGCCTCGCGGACGACATAGTCGAGGTATGTGCAACTCAGAATCACATCGAGATGTTCAGGTGCAGGTGGTTTGGACGGATCAGATGAATCGACAGATATCGCCTTTAGTTGTTCCCGTAGTTTCGATTGGATATCTGGTGCTCGTGCTAGAGCGTACAATGTCCATGTTAAAGCCGTTGATGTTGTTTCGTGTCCTGTTCCATCAGTTAGTTCGACTCTACTCAGTAACGACAGCGCATCACTGACCAGCGGTGATGAAGGTAGCTATTTGGCACAATGTCTCGCTCAACGAGAGCCGTTGGGATGGCTCAGCCGACAGGTTGGACCTAACTGGTCCAAGCATGTGAGCCTCACCATGGGTCAACAATCGCTAATGCTCACTCAAAACACTCAGGAGATCTCGGCCTTCAAACGCCTTCTGAGGCTCTGCGCTTGCTGCAGATCCTATGCCAGTGGGTGTTGCAAACTCCGTGGACACCACGGCTGACTGGCGTTCCCTAATCAACGACAGTCCGATGGCACGAATACTAGCGTGCGCTTCTTTCATGGCTGTACTGTTCCTGTGCTGAACAAGAATCAGCTTATCTTGGGAGAATTTCGGCCTCGCATTTTTCAACAAGGTCGTAACTAGAGCCACGTACAATCTTGCGCAGTACGGGGAACCAAGCCTGCAATACCGAGATAATCCGGAATTGACGAGCTGCGCTGAAGATAACACTAAACGCATGGGCGAGTTCAGTCTCGCCTTCCGAAGATCCTGCCGTGGCCGACAATGAGTTGAATCGATACCCAAAGCCAGCCTCACCGATGACATCCAAGGTCGCCCGGTTAAGCCAAGGTAGAATGTCTATCCTTACGCCCTGCATCGCCTGTGTATTTTCCGAGTGCGGGGCATTGAATGTGTGTCTCCTACGCAGCGCGCCCGCTGACCTTAGTGTTTGAACGCTTGCCTTGGAGGATATGAAGGAAACGAAAGGGTTTGGGAGTAAAGAGACCGCCCTGGAAATCAATACGGGTGAAGGTGCTTCTTTGGTCTCGTGGTGCGACGGAGAATGTGACAAAGGATCAAGAAGAGAAAACTGCGCAGAAGTTGTTACGTCCTCTTTGTCAGAGCTTGACGCGTCTACAATAGAGAGCCACATGTTTCGGAGCTGACAATGTGCGTACTCAGTCACAACTGCATAAGAGAGGGATGAAGTGCGCGGAGACATACTTGTGCTGCCTTCACCCAAAAGAACGGACTGAGTGTCCTTATGTGCGTGGTAGAGAATGCCGGGTTCTACTATGCATATCAGCCATGGGTACTTTCTCGATCATATTATCATGTTCATATGTGCGCATTGCTACATAATATCATATGAAGTACGAAGCATGAGGCCGGGCACACGCGGTCTTTTCCGTGCAATAGAGCTCGACGCGACGATCACATGACCGCGTCCGATCGTATGATCGGTACATTTGACGGTTTCTGCCGTCGCATTTCGTTCTTGCCGGTACGGGGATGTAGACACTCACCAGTATTTTACGCTGCGGGAAGCCAATTAATCTCAAGATCAATATGCGACTCAGCTACGCCTACCTGTCGACGATGGACCTCGCCCTCTACGGTCAATAAGCCTTCCCTACCAGAAGCCATGCTAGCCAGACTATCGCGGACGAATTCTGGTTTCGGGTAGTCATATGCTCTACCCATGATGTGCGATACAGCAGCAGGGTCAGTGGTCATAAGCCGGTGGCCACCGACGAAACCTCGGTAGACGAATGTGCTTCCGAATTGGTTCTCCCAGCGAGCGACGAGATTGTTGTTCTCCATATCATGCATCTCTCGTAGGTTACCCATAAAGAAGGATGGAGAAGCTGGTCCATTGAGGTTCCGCAAGGGGGAGCGCGCCTGTCGCAGAAAAAGAGCTAAGAATGTCGATAACACATAGCCTACGACTGCCGCAAGCAGGGCGCAACAGACGGCCAAGATCGTGACCATTTGCTATAGGGTATGTGGATAGGAGGGCTGGAGTACCTGACGACTGATGACTGAATGTGACATTGTCTTATACGCCACGGTCCATAGATCCCACCAACTTGAACGGATTGGCATTCTATTCCAAGCAGTCGGGTATACAATTTAAGGCACCGATAGGGCCGGGAACCCCGCGTCCAAGAGATTGTATAAGACCGAGGATCATTGGAGATTGCAGCAGTGGATCAAAATTACATTTCGGTCTCGTCGGAGATGAACTACGCAACGCGATTGTAGAGCAAGCAACGATCATAATTGTCAGCCCGACGTGCCCGCTATGCCCGACTCGATCCACTGGGCTCGAGGGGATCTAAAGAAGGTTATCGGTCTCGTGAGTCGTGAACGCATGGGGCGCGAGCTCGTTTCGACGAATAGTACGTCGGATCTTGGAGCGCCAATGGCTAGGGATTGCACCGGAAGCTCTGAGCTGTACGTAAATCAAGCGAGAGAGAACAATGTCACCCCTGCCGCGGACGCTCACTGTCCTCAGCGAAGGCTTAACGTTGGGCACATCAGTGCAAATTCAGCGCGAGCTAAATCACCAGAGGGCAGGAACATGGCGGCTACTACAGATCTCGTAGTCGATGTCATGTCTCCTCGTCAGCGTTGTGACAGTGAAGCTTGACAGCTTGACGGGCCGTCGAGATGCAGATACGCTGAAAGTGCGGGACCCAATCTTTCGATCATCTAGGCACCACTAGCACTGTTTGTAATAGCTGCAGTATATACAACCGTGCAAAAGTTGGCATACATACCTCGGTCTAATACTTGTTAATCCCAATGTTGTTGTCAATTGAACCCCGGGCTGACTTCACGCCGTCTCATAGGCAGAAGCCGTCAAGGACCGTGCTATGGGTGTGTGTCATGGCCTTCGATATAGGTTTGATACCTCCAGTTGATCAGAACCACGGCACCGAAAAATAGGGTGCCTGCAGGGAATTAGGCACCCTGATCGGAATGGGGCACCACCAATGTCCTCCGTAAAGCGACAAACACAGAGCCATGGGACACATTGCCAAGCGGTGCTCGCCTATTGCGCACCAAGCGCAGGTCCCGATCTCACGAAAACAGGAGCCACCGCCGAGAGGAGTTCACAGCCTGACCGAGCTGTGCCATATATGCCAAAGAAGCATTTATCACGAGGGGCATGTGCGGCGCTGCTCATGTATATGGGCCGACGTGATATCAGGAGCGCCTCGTGCACGATTCTCTGAGGGCTCTGTTCCTTATAGCTCAATATCTCGAGATCTGAGAATAGGACATAAGTACAAGTAATAACAGGAGAGCATATCGACGACTTACTCGTCATAGGCGGCATGCATCCCAAGAGAAGCATTTTATCGCCCTCGAAAGGTTGCATCATCGTTCATGTGGGTGTGGGCCGTCATAGCGGCATCTCGGGCGGTGAGTTTGGGAGGGTCATCAACTTCCACACACGTCTAGTTCTACACGGCTGCTATATAGCCTTCTATCCTTGTCTCACAACTTAGTCTTGGCAAGCGTCATGCTGGACAGCTTCCCGCTCGCCTGCATTTCCTTGGCGCGGTCTCGCAGAAACCGGCGAAGCAGCTTCCCGCTCGGATTCTTTGGGATCACATCGATGAACTCGACACCGCCGGATAATTGTTTGTAATGCGCCTTCGCATCCGCGACATGCTGTGACGCACGATGTAAGTACAAACGTAAAGCCTAATTCAGCTCACGGCTCACCTTGATGAGCGCGGCTTTGATCCTGGCCTCTTCGGCAGAGTTCTTGCGCATGCGTCCCACGGCATTAGCACTGGGCATGACGAATGCAAGTGGCAGCTCGCCACTATAATCGTCCTGGAGCCCGACAACGCATACGTCTCCCACGTCCGGGTGATCTAAGAGGTGTCCTTCCAGCTCGGCAGGCGCCACTACAGAGAATGTTCAGCGAACGTAGTACTGCGTAGGTGGTGACTCACCCTGGAAGCCTTTGACTTTGATCAATTCCTATGGTACGAGGCGATGAGGTTAAGGGATAATGAAAGTCTTGCAAACAAACCTTGATACGATCGACAACAAATAACTCGCGGTCTTCATTGATTACTACTTCATCACCAGTGTATATCCAGCTTCAAATATCATGAGTCCACATCAATGATGCGACACCGACAATCTCACCCGTCTACGAACGTCTCCTTTGTTCTGCGAACGAATTACATTAGTAAATAGCACAGCCCAGCACAAGACAATGTCGAGACTCACGCCTGTTCGTTGTTGAGATAACCTAATGTGTTTGCTGGTCCCTTGACAACAAGTTGTCCGGGCTGGTTGTAACCGAGCAGCTTGCCATCAGAATCGATGACACGAGCTATAATTCCTGGAAGCAGTCGCCCAGCGCTTCCAGGCGTCCCTATCTTCTGCTCCAACTGAGGGAAAGTCACCGTCGTGCAGGTCTCAGTCATTCCTGCATAGGGACATTACGTATCATGGTATTCAGTTTCCGCTACCACAGAAACAAGAGGAGTAAAGCAGACGCACCGTATGATTGACCTATGCTCATGTTCGGTAGCCGTTCACTGAGCTGATGGATGACCTCCGCTGACAACGGCGCCGCACCGCTCTTCATTGCCCTCAAAGAGCTGAGATCATGCTGGTTTACTGCGGGGTGCTAAGGATTGTCGTGAGTGCATGTCGGGGGTTCAAGGACCATCGTCATTACCCACCTTGCACAAGAGGACTACTATCGGCGGAACAATTCTGCCTAAGCCTCAGTAACCACGCAGATAGTTTACATCCAGCGGGATAGAACACACGGTATGTAGTTGATCCGGTGGCGTTCTATGCTCTTCAGCATGTCTACGAAGTTGAACTTCGGAATCACGACCACGGACATCTGACAAAAATAGCTCAATGTACAGTAATGCTGAGAGGTGATGGCGGTGCTTACTCCATAAAATATAGCAAAGTGCATCACAACCACCAGTCCGTATATATCTGTAGTTTCATTGTGAATCAGATGCAGTCGACCACGATAGTGACATTATATTCACGATAGAAAGGTAAAACTGCAGGATGCGTCAGTAGCATGAGATAGCGTATATTTTGCATGGAAATACTGACGGGCCATAGCTATGTCACCTGCTCGGTAAGGCCTATCCTCCCAACGCCCTTTTTGCAAGTTCGCCGTGTGCGCCATTTGAAGGACATTGGCAATGGGCGAATAGTGAGGTATACAGACAGCCTAGAAGCATATCTTAACAAGGCGTACCCTATGGCTTGCAGCCCTCGCTACGTACCTTCGGTCTGCCTGTCGTTCCGCTCGATAGACTAAGGAATGCCAACTTCCTCTTGCCCTCTCCTGCTTGCAGCCGGCGCTCATGGTAGTTCAGGGAACTAGAGAGTCCTTGCTTCACAATCTCCTCTACAGTCTTGTGCGACCTGGAAGACGCAAAGTCTGGCGCGACGTTGAACACCGCAATATGGGAATCGGGGATCCCGACTACCCGGGCCGCGTCTATTGCTATCTGTACATTTATAGGATGCGCAATGATCGCCTTGGCTTTGGTGATTGTCAGTTGATATTCAAGCTCAGGTTGGGTGAACGTTGGGTTTGCCGTCCTGAGCTAGAGTGTGAACGCAGGTATAGTAAGGAGACGGCTAAATTTTACGTCAATGTAGCGCCAAGTCTATGCATAGCCCTGGGTCGACAGAGGATAAACATGATGACATAGGTCTCGCATGAATCGAGTATGTCTCACCATATTGCGATTGGATAATCTGGTTCGAAGAGTAAACGATGAGCCTAGCTCGACTACACATGACACATACCGACGTGGTTGGGGCTAAAGATGCAGACTTTCGATAGGATTGAGTTGGCTGCATTCTACATCTCTTCGCATAGTCACTGACCTACATCATCTTCCCCTGCGAGCAACCAGCCGTCAGAACGCGGCCTGCTGAGAAGAGATCGGACTGCGAACATACCAATACTCCATAGCGAGCTGATCGCATTCGCGAGGCCATGGACTCGTGAACGGATCTACACAAAAGTAAGGGACTTCGCACCAGAATGTACGGTGGTTAATGCTGTGCTTACCTTGGGCAAACCAACCTTTCTGCCAGTAGAATCCTCTATCAACCATGCATTAGGGGGCTGTACCACGGGCCTTGCGACGTGGTGAGAGTCTAGCATGAATTGTACGACCGTCAAGTCATCTGGAATGGGAGGAAGAGGTGCTCCAGGGCCATAGATTTCGGTCATCCTGTAGGCAATAGTGGAAAAGAGAAACCGCTACGAGTCGTTTCGAGGACGTGTAAAGCTTTCCATGCTCATATGACCAGGCGCATGCATCCTTTCCTGTGCCGAAAGACGGGTTATGTAGTAATTGTGATTGTCGTATGGCCATCTGACCTACTGCCCCACGTCCGAGACCCGAGAGCGCTCACGGACGTCCGTAGTGCAAACGCGATCACGGGACCGAGAACGCAATGACCCCACTCCTTTCAGACTCCTATCCTTTGAACTTGGCCGTCTCAAGGCTCCCAAATCGGTCTCGTCTGAGGTGCCGCTACTGGTACTTTGCCTTGGTTCTCCAATTACCGTCAATATCTAGTCGTTTTATACGACAAGTACCATATGAAAAGGAACGCAAGTTTGGTATCGTACGAAAGCAGTTCTGACGAAGACAAAGAGATCGTCACGGCTGGTCTGCTTGTAAAAAAGAGGTGTCTCAAACGATATTTCTCGACATTCCGGAGAAACTGATTATGAAATGCAGGAGACTACCGAGCCTTCCCTCTTCCCTTCTCCCGCAAGTTCCTAAAGATGATCCAGCTTTGCATCAGGGTCGCATTCGCACGACACCGCACGTCGAAGGCCAATTTGCTGCTTATGTCTACGTTCCATTGATCGTTGACAAGCACTCTGCTCTATCCGAACTCGCTATGAATGCATTTCAACGAGCTCAGGAACTTGTTCCTTCTCTTCATCCTATCGGATTATGTGACAAGCCGAACGCCGATAGCACTGGCAGCGACCATTTCGAATTCCACATATCTCTCACACGACCGTTCTATCTTCGTGCACATCAACGAGACGAGCTAAAGCATGCGGTTAAGCAACTAGCCCAAGGTCAATCCGCGTATGCGTATCTCCCTCATGTTTCTTTGAATTGCATGGTGTAGCTGATCGCCTCTGCCGTGTAGATTTGTGACCTCATTTACCTCATTCTCAGAGCTCAAGAACGACGAGAACACGCGAGTATTTCTCACGATGGAGATTGGGGCGGGTCATGCAGAGGTACGTGTGTCTCACGCTCACGACCATCTCATTTCCAATTCCTCCTGCAGCTCCAAAGATTGTCTGAAGCTTTGACGCCTATACTGAGGTCAATACGACAAAAGGAGTTCTACTCTGAACCAAGATTCCATGTCTCTATCGCCTGGGCGCTCCTTGATAGAGCAGCATCGGGTAGCTGCACAATTGCTGGTTCTGAAACCATTACACAGACCTCAGATTCTTCACAAACATTCTGCAGCATATCCGCCTTGCCGCCAACGTTGGTGTCTGCGCTGAACGCAGAATTCAGCTCATTGCTGTCTGCTAAACATATTGGGAGTTTCGAGATGAACCAAGTGTGTGTGAAGGTCGGCAAAGATGTCAAGCGATGCACTTTGCGGGGATAGTTTGCAAGCCGCCGTTCAAGTATTCCTCGAGATCTCAACCAAGGCCAATGGATGCCCAGATTGTACTTCGGCAGGAGCACGCCAGGATGTACGCATGTCCCATATGGACAGTTGTGTAAGAATTTGACAGGATTCATATGCCACTTGACGACGTTTGTACTGGCTGCTTAACGAGGCTCAAACACGCCATTGTACATTGGCTCAGTTGTTCGTAGTTCGGTTTCGTATTGATCGGTAAGTTTGGTATGTTATAAACTATGCTTAGACTCACGTGTAGGTATTTTTCTCCGATCTGCTGCAACTGTGCGTTTCTCCCTCATAAATAAGCTCTACCCGCTGCTCGCAACAAACACTACCTATCTGCATGATGCAAAAATTCGCGCTGACTCTGATCATGTGCACTTTGCGCGTCCGTCATATGGGCAACTGACTGGTTTCTACATGCCGGTGCCGCCTTCTTATCGAGACACTGTCGGGCTTATCACTAGGATGCACGTGCATTCAGGGCTGATCCTACTCTTCAGAAGCCAACAAATTGTCTTCGCTCACAGCAGCGCCACAGCAGTGCACGGCCTCAGGATGTACATATATATGCACCTTGGCTCTACTAGTCGACGCTCGCCCCCCTTCACCCTTGCACCCATTACGCCTCCGGGATTGCACCTGGGGGCGTCGCGTTATTCGGTCACTTAGGTCCTCTCTGTTATTTGATTCGCGCTTCCGTACACCAGGCTCCCTGCTCCGAGCCCGCGTGGGGCGGGCGCTTACGTTACGGCTGAAAGTGCTCAATCCATCTCGTCACCGCAAGAGGGTCGTGTCTCCCTGAGTTGGAGCCAGCGTGTCCTGTTGTGGTCACCGAGACCACAGTCACAGCTTTCCGGCGAGTGCTGCAAAATATATGTGTCCTATACGCTGACATTCTGTTATATCTTGTAATAGAGGCCCTTTTCGTGCCCTATCTGTCACAATCAACATCCACTATCGCACGGCTTAACAGCATTGATCGCAACGGAGATGGATCGGAGGACGTCCTCGACGCTAGTACACACACCTTTCCCGCTTTTTATCTTCATCACAACTCGCAAATACAAGACGCTGTCGCTCAAACGCCGGCGGTTCAGTCTCGCAAATATGTATGGCTTGGCTCCTTTGTCATGCTTCTCAGCCGGATAGCATATGGGCTCTTCAAGCATGTGTATCTTCTACATCTGCCACCTTCATATTATGCTTCCTGGCTATCCGACATACGAGGCTTCTACCTCTCTCTTCCAGAAGACTCCTCGCAATCGGTACACCATGACCGCCATCACGCCGAGAATCCCCTGCACCCGCTTGTGTCACAATGGAAGGCAATGTCAGGTATCAGCTGCGTTGTCCTCACGTAAGTTTTTGAACATGCTTCCGTCAGTGATCATGACTCCGTTTCTTATGTGTTTCTCCTATATCACCGCAGAAGTGTCGTTGCTGTCTTGCAGATTGCGAATACGTCAAGTAACCCCCTCATCTCAACCCTTGGTATCACAATTTTCGCCGCCGCCTTCACCAGCGTCTTCTTTTGCGCTTCCTACACCTTTCTCGCCTTCCGTATCATCAAGCGGTCCCACATACGGTCATGGATAGACGTATGTACGCTGCATCCCCAGTACTGTATGAGATGACTGACTATGTATCTAGGATATTCAATCTCCCTCGGCCAGCAAATGGGAAGATCCCGCTCTCTTGCTCGCGGCTCCTGCGGCGTGGCTGATATGGTGCGGTACTTGATGACTTGATGACTTGACTAAAGGCGGCACCGTGACACTAAATATCTCGCAGGTCGTGTATCCTGCTGTATCCTTTCCTTCTCTCGTTCACATGGTCGAATCAACTCGATCCAGGTGGCACCATTAGTATGCGTATTCTGTGCACGATGGTCATTCTCTCTGGCGCGATTCACCTCTGGTTGGCGGTCCCAATGTTCAAGAAGCTCGGAGCGACTGCAACACCGGCAGCTGAGGACGACCAGGAGATAAATAGATACGGCGTGCATCACCGCACTGCCCAGTAAATCTTTTCCGGGCATCCACAGTCCGCAGACTTACTCGTTCATAGCTCTGTCAAATTCCCTTTTGTGAGTTGTTTAGGGTTCAGTCTTCACGGTCCGGTCCGAGGTCCGGGTGGTAGCTATGGCCCTCGTAGCGGACAGTAGATATGAAACCCCCTCTTTTTGTCGTAGAAATATTATTGGAGTCAGTCGGTCGTAGGCTGCTGCGTGTAATGGTGATTTAAGTATGTTTTGAAAGTGGTATGTTACAGTGAGAGATATCATAGGTCACAATTCGTAAGTTGCATAATAGAACGTAACATCGACGTTAACAATAAGTCACATTACATAGCAAAGTGTGACTATTGGGTAGTGGCGCTGGTCACCGCCTTGCTCACCGACCACGACCACGACCTTCTAGTTCTCGAGCAGTGGTCTCAAGAACACCCAAATCGTACTGTATAATCTTCTAGTTTTCATTCTGCAGCATGGGTCAAGCAGTGTCGAGGCACCGACAAACACAATCTCGCCCAGAACCTGCGAATCGCGATAGTACTCTTGCGGAGGCCAGCAGTAGTAGGCTGCCGTCATCATCTCAGGGGACCATTTCGGCGGCGAGCAAACGCTCTCGTCGTACAGCGATACGCCGCAGCGTCCTTGGACTTCTCCCGCACTCGCAATCCTCGGGCTCTCTGCGCGACAATGCCTCCTCTGGCTCGGAAAGTGCACAGCCCGTACGGAAATTATGGCGCCGGTCGCGACGATGGTCCAAGGCACCGGTGCATGCAGAACTGGCTGAGGCAGGGCAAGCAGGGGCTGCAGGGCATGGGGTCAACGAGATGGGGGATGTTTCTGCGGTGAGCGAGTCCAGCGCTAGCGTGCGATCTTCGACGCCTGCACTAGAGCGATCATTGGTGGAAGAGCAGCACATATCTCAGGCCATCCAGCATGACCTGAGCAGTGCTGTTACCCAGGAGCAGCTCGCGCCGCACAGTAGCTCAAGACCACCTAGCCTCGCTCAAGTACACCGAGACCTCGAAGAGTTTCTCTCAGGCCGCCCTACCTCCGTGACCGATGAGGCGTCATTACCCCTGCCTACAATTGAGCAACCAGCGTCTGGACCCGATTTGACCCCGCAGGCGCCTCGTCAGTTCCCGCCTCCAGGGACACTCGTGGTTGTACAAGGTGTGGTAAACACGACAGATGCGCCGTCTGCTGGGCGTGAGCCTTCGACATCCACGCTACGGTCTTCACGCTCTGCGACACCACGACCGGGCTCGGGTGGGCACCTCACAGGCTCTCTCCGCCGTGCGGCATCGCTGTCATCTGCAACACGCGAGGATGAACGTCTCGGTACGAGGAACCGGCTGTCATCCTTCATTTCGCGCTCACGGCCCTCGTCGTCTGCTGGGAACCCGAGTGGAGCCGATTCGGCATTGCATCGCAATTCCGCCGCGCCGTCGGACCTGCCGTCTTCTACGAGCCAGGAGACGATATCAGCCGAGAATGCGTCTTCTGAGAGCCATGATGAATCGAGTTCGGACAACGATGGGCCAGCACGGACGTTATCACCAGGTAGCATTGATGTCCTCGGGACGCTTCTGAGGTAAGTCATGATTTCACTCACTTGCACATTCGCATCCACTGAGTTCTTGGTAGTGTCGCTGCTGCCGCTACAGCGGCTTCATTATTTTCACCTGGACTAGCATTCCCTCTGCAGAACACCAATACTGCTAACACTGATCCAGGATCAAACCGACCAATGTCTCCAACGCCGACAGCGGGCTTGGGAAATTTACCCGGCTTTGGTAACATGGCGGGTCTTGACCAAGCACGAGGCCCCGCACAGCGGGACGGACGAGACCGTATCCGAAATGTGTGGGAGAATGTGCGGGAACGACTTGGTTTGAACTCACGGAGTCCGTTTGTTTCTGGGCCGAACTCATCCACACTGGAGGATGGCGGTGACGCGGGCGAGAATCGCATGCGGCCGGGAGAGTTGATGCTTGCCGAGATGGCTCGGGCGCTCAATATTGGGCTGGGTCTCAATGACAGCACCACGGCGCCGGCTGCACGGTCAACAGATCAGGACACCGCTGACGGCGCGTCTGCCTCTGCGACTGACGATGCTACGCAATCTGCGGGTGTAGACAACGCGGATCGTCATCTGCCTCCCGAGGACAGTTTTGAGCGGTTTTTACTGAACTTGCAGGCGGATCTTCGTACGGCCTTGTTGCAGGATGGCATGGGGAGCCAAAGCGAGCGGGACAACATTCCTTTGAACACGGCGTCGGCACCAACACATGTGGACGGACCAGAACACGTCGCGGGACCCTCGGATATCGCAAGAGAAAATGAGCAGCTCGCCGATGCACAGCAAGCTACTGTCCTAGACACAGAATCGCACGACGACGATGGACCTCCTCCGCTAGCAGACGTTTCCGATTCAGACTCTGAGGACGACGATGACGGCGATGACGACAACGATGACTTGGAGGACGAAGACACTCCTCGCGCTGCCCGTACTCCCACCCCGATGCCTGGCGCGTTTCCCTTCGGCGGCGACCATCGACATGACGCTCAAGGCGAACGCAGGCCTCCTGGTGTCAACCTCTGGCGCCTGTACCGCTTCCAGCCAATACCTGCCTCACAGACGCATGGGCATGCGGCCAGCACGAGCTCACAAGATTCATCCACGCCGATCATAGGCGTTACTTCTTCCTCCAGCCCCGAGACTGCAGGCACTGGCACCTCCCCTCCCTCTTCCTCTCCCTCTCCCTCATCACCAGAATCGTCTCCCGACGCCTCTGGTACTACTAGTAGCACGGCAGACACGAACGTAAACGTTGTCGTGCCGGTCATCGTGGTCGGACTGCAATCTGTAGACATGACACGAAACCCCGACCACATCCCTCCATCGCACGAACACCCACATCCGTCGGATGAGGGCCGGCCATCGGACCCGAACCTGGGTTTGTCGGATGACTGGCGACGTGTGGGTGGTGCATCCTACGGGGATAGTCAGAGTGGTACCCAGCCTCGTGGCAGAACATGGCAATCGCGTGCCGCCAATGCATTGAGGACGTTGCGTCCTGGGCGGAGGGGCGGGTCGCATGGTACGCGGACGAACGATTCCACAGGTGCAAGGACGTTCCTCATTTATGTCATTGGAGGTGCGTCGCGTATTATGCGAGCCATGGATACCTATCTCTTAACTGATACTCCATCATAGGCTACTACCCTCCGAATCACCACATGGTCACCGGGTCCGATAGCCTTGATTCGTACGATGCTCTATGGTACGCATGCATATTCTTTTACATCTGCTGTTACTGTATCAATTATGTGATCAGGGAGCTCGCCGAACTCCTGGGCCAGGTCAAACCTCCAGTTGCCTCGCGCGAAGATATCGACAACTCCGGTTTACAAATCATCAAGGCAGCTGATCTTACACAGTACGAAAGGGAAGGCAGGGTCTCTTCTAACTGCACGGAGAGGGTGTGTATATTCGAGCCCAAAATTGGCTGCTTGTCACTGGAACTGATATTCTCCTTAAGTGTCTGATCTGTCTTGATGACTATGCGCCCGAGGGCAGTGTTCGTCTGATGTCCTGCAAGCACGCATTCCACAAAGACTGTGTAGACAAATGGCTGCAGGTAGGCCGCAACAACTGCCCTGCTTGCCGGACGAAGGTGTGTGGATCGTACGAACGAAGACCATGAGCTGACGATCTTGCGCGTAGGGTGTCTCGACCGTTGGTGAACCCAGCGTCTGAGATGAAGGTGTCGCATATCGACGTTGTACAAAAGAATGCTCTCTATTCCCACTCTCATTATTGGACTCTTCGTTGCATCTTGACTGATTACTCTTCCTATCGTTCTTTTTCGCTCAGTCCTGTTTCTCTATTGTTTTCGCATCGTCTCCGCTCTCACGTGTAGCACAGTTAACCCATGCTCAATCGAAATTTGTTCCTAGCCGCGATATCGTCGAGAATAATGTTATAATGTTCGCCGCAGCTAACTGCTCGTCGAACTCCGCATATGCTGTACTATATATCACGATAGAACTATACGTCGTGTGGCTTCCGAATGCAGATGTTTTCAAGTATCAATGAAAACGCCTCACTACGAAACAGTAATCCTGAAGACTTGATGTCTAGGTATTGGGTGCCGCATTTGCAAACCCATTCGGTGCATGTGGAAAGCCCCGAGCCTAAATGGGACCCAAAATTCACTGACCAAGTCAATGCTGTCGTGGTGTGGGCAGCCACCATATTCTGCTGACAATAAAGTGTTCTAAAGGATGGGCTACTACTATCCTAACAAGGTATTGCCATCAAAGACGAGCAGTAAGGCTCCGACTAATTAGTTTATGATTATGTCATCCCTTTGGGGTATACATGGTAAACAGTAGACAGATGGTACAAAGAGTCTACAAGGGCTTTACACAGTGAGCAAGTCATCAGGAAAACCCCTTTTTACTTTCAGTGCTGGAAAAATGGTGACTCGTGCTGCAATAGGACCGCTGGATTAGCTGAGATGCTCGCCGCCATTCGGTGCACACACGTCGCAGTCGCGATTCGATATAAGTTGGCGAGAGGTAAACCTGCATTGCCAGCGCCTCCAAAGAGCACGCGCGTCGCGTCTGTGTTCGATTCGATCACGTGATCGCGGCCACAGCACTCCCATTACCTTCTGGATTCGTCGACCTTGTCGCCCCAACACTGTGCTAAGTCATTCTTTACTTCAGCTCAACACACGAAGCACCCATCATATGTCGACCGAGCAAAAGGCAGAGCAGCAGCTGCCAGAGACACCTGAACGTCCGTACGCTATCGTGCGCATTAAGCGCAAGCGGAACGAGGAGCCTCTCGATGGCCTCGGTGAGTGATATTCGAGCGTGTAAAGGCTCACAGACTGATATTTTATGCTTAGTTGTTGATCCCGAAGCTGTCCCAAGCCGGAAACGATCTCGTGGCGCGCTCAACTTCTTCAAGTTCGCCGAAACAGTCGAACAGAACGCTTGGGATGATGAGAAGCAGAAGAGAGACCTTGAGGCAGGCCAACTTTTTGCACTTCGCTCTGGTGGCTATCAATACTGACAGACCGCATCAAGGCTCGCCTGAGCACGTTAGCAAGAGAGTCGCCAAGAAAGGAGAACCTAGCCACTTCGGTTTCAGCCCCAGCAGTAGTGGAACAGGCAGTCTCTCCAGCAGTATCAACCCCCCGTCCGCAACTTGACGATTCCAACCGCCGGTACACTATCGTCAAGCGAGAAAGACCTGGCACCGAGCGTGTTCAACGTCGAGTACCCACAGCACCGTGCGTGCTTGCGGATTTGGGATGTCCATATTGCACTCATCAAAGGTTGGAATCAGGCCAAAGGTATGGTCGACAAAAGAGCTACAGGCCTTGCGCGAGTCGCAATCCAGCTTCGCAATGTACGACGCTATACCATCCTCTTCCGCACTGTCCTCAAAATCCGAAGTCGATCCTGAGGTAGCAAAGTTCTTACCCCTGCTGCGAGACTACCTGAAGCGTGAGCTTATTTGTCTCTACTCGATATGACATGCCTGACGCACTGGTAGTGGACGATCCGAGCATGGCGACGCCTCCGGGATCCATGTCAACTTTATCCAGCAGCCCCAGCGTCACCCACACAATAGATGACAGCGACTACGTATATGACGTCTTCTACCAGCGCCTGACAACTCTTGCCGAGTTGTACGAACCTGGAATGCCTGTGTGGAACATTGGGACATTGTACGTAACGTAGTTGTTTCGAACATGGATACTGACGTCTAATGCATCATAGAACTGAAATACCCGAAGAACTCATGATGTATGATTCGGACGATGATTCGGAAGTATACGACACAGACGACGAGGATTCAAATGGTACGTACATTCTCCAACTCGTTTCCTTCCAGCGTAGGTAATTGACCATGTTTGTCAATCAGCTGAGGATTTCTACAAGAATGATTACCCAGATGGTGATCCGGACGAGATGTCCGATGGGAGCGAAGGAAGCGGTAAGTGGCTCAAAACTGACCTGAACCGTACATTGATCAGTGGATCCAGACGTCTTCCACGAAGATTCGGACTATGACGACATGATCCACGGGGATACTTCAGATCACGAATGGCGATGATGAACCTGTCTCGTTTACATGAACCATCGACCAAATCACGGACTGTATAGTATAAATGGAAGGTCAGGAAGGCATTTATGTATCCATATATGTTTGTGAAGCCCTCGTTAATGTAGTCATCAATGATATTTGTAGCATGATAGTGTTCGAATTATTGACCTGGGAACCGTGTCTAGATGCCACATGCGTCATTCGGGTGATGATCGAACTGAGAGGACAGCGAAGTATACGAAATTGGTCACTCAGCGATGTCAACATTGGCAATTGAGGAGACTCAAATCCAATCAAGCTCTAGTCCTATGTCATGGTGCTTCTAGTGCCCCGACTGTGCTGTAAAGTTTGGATGCCTCATCGCAATATAAAGCCAGGGCACGACACTGACGTCTGTATCCCAGTTTGCTGTGACAGTCCAAACCATCTCGTCAAACTAAGAATGTTGAAAATAATGCTAGGAATCACCACACGATCTTTCGCGCCCATGCCGAGACTACTCCGTTACATACGCCGTCTCACAATCCCCAGCACCACTGTAAGTACGATTTTGGTACAGCGCCATTATCACGTTGCATGATGAGCATCCCATTCATCTTAGCGCAATGCCAAAGCGGGACGCCAGACACCGAGGACGAGAGAGAATTCGAAGACTGTATCTCTCTTTTGGGACATGGGTATGTAAGAAATATTCACCTAGCCCTGCCAACTTGATATGCGCCAGAAAACTGTGGTCTTCGACTCCGTTCAAAAGATGGGTTCACCATCGAAGAGCTTTGCCGGTTTGCGGAGGGCTTTGGCTGTTTGAAGACCCTCAATGCGTACTTGGACAAGAGTCATCATGCGACGTCCTCGTCACTGTCCGCGTTCCGCTCGCAGGGCTTTAATATTATCGACTGCCCGCATAATGGTGAGAAGAACGTCGTGGATAGGCGGATGATAGGTAAGTGTTGTCGTCAACTTAGCGATCAAAGCTGAATTTGGACCTAGACGACATGATGGCTTGGGCTGCTCGTAACCCTGCGCCTGTCACCATGGTGCTGATCACAGGGGACAAGGACTACGTTAAGGCAGCATCAACTCTATCAACCCGAGGATACATCATCATTATCATCGCGCCACCCAAGGCGCACGCCTGTCTGAAAGCTGCTCAGCCAGCGAAACTGCTGTCGTGGCGCAGGAGCTTCGCCGAGTAGCGCCGACTAGTGAGCCTGACGTAGTTCAGGAGGTCTTCGCACTGCGAATCCACTCATGCACATTTATAATTGAATAGAAAGCCACAGGATATCAGTCGTAATTGCTCATTTGTTGAAACTTGCGGACAAAAACGAGCTCGCAAGCTCGGGCGCGATAGTAGCTGGGGGGGCCCTCATAGTATAACATGATTGCTCGCGATATACGTACCGTACGCGATTGTCCCTTACGGGCATCGCTACTCCTGCGGACAACCGCGCTCGTCGACTAAATACTGGTTGCCCCAACACGGGCCTGTCTGCGAGGTGCGGTGCCATTGACGCGCAGCAGCAAACGTGTGCGTAGTATCCGTGTAGATCATTGGTGATATGGGGGTACCCACGCCGCGAGTAGCAGTTGGATAGGAAGTTTTACATACTCCAGAGCAAGGCTCGATGGGTACTCTGCGTATGATGTTCGGCAGAGTCAATACATGATCCGCTACAAAAGACTAGCTGATAACCATTCGACCTGCAGCGGATTGGGTGGGATCAAAAGGTAAAGGCTCTCAATCCTGACATAACAATGCAAGGCCCGAGGTGTTTGGGGGATGAAGTACACACCAGTTTGTCCTGGCTTCGCTTTTCAAGCGTAGGCTATAAGCGGGATATCAGGTGTGCTGTTCACAGCGCGTTTTAAGCCGATCTGAATATTGGAGAAGATGACCACCTCGGTCGTCATGGGATTTGTTACTCATTTGTGCGAGGACTGCGTGCCTCAGTCAGATTACAAATTCTTGGCTCAAGCTCATTTTCATAACATGTCTCTCCTGTATGCTGAGCGGATAGTATGCAACGATATACATGTTTCATACCATACTTGTGTGACGAGATGATTCGGCATCGAGCACACGTTACACCCACATATGCTACATCCCACAGGTCCGAATGGAACTTACATCGACATACCAGCACCCGCAGCCATCGAAATCAGATTCTCTCGATCTCCACTCTCGTCAACCAATGCCCGGAGTAGTCCGTTTTGGATCCGTAGAAGTTCACTAGGTTTACCAAACTCGACCTGGGAGTATGATAAAACATATGCGACGCAAAAACCGTGTCGGCAGCAACTCACAATGTGTCCAGCATCTAGGACCATCTAGAATTGTGCGGTTCAGCATAAGAAGGGGCTAGAGCTATGTATCACTCACTATCTTGTCCGCATCCATAATTGTCTGAAGACGATGTGCGACTGTCAGAACAGTGGTACCTTTGTCAAGCTCTTTTCGCAGAGACGCCTGTATGACGGTATCGGTCTCATAATCTGCGCGACACACGGCATCATGAGATTCATGCGAGTATAGCAACACGATGAATGATGTTACTTACCTAAGGCGGATGTAGCTAAACGCGATGTCAGCAACGATCGCAGATCTCCGTCTATCACGCATTATACATACCTTCGTCCAGGATAAAAAGCTTGCTCTGCCGTACGATCGCCCGAGCCAACGCCAAGATTTGTTTTTGGCCAAACGAGAGGTTGTTACCTCCACTGGCGATCTGCGTGTCTAGAGTGATTTGGCCTTCATCCATGTCTTTCTGAAGTGAGAACAAGCCCGCGGAGCGAAGTGCATCGTTCAACGCTGCGTCGTCAAACTCTTCGAATGGGTCAAGATTCTGTCGCAAAGTTCCGCTGAGTAGTTCGGGCTGTGAACAGTGGCTATGAGAGAGCATACGGCCATAGAAATGGAAGAAATTGACCACTTGCGGTATGATCGTGATGTGCGATCGAAGGGCATCGAGGTTTATCTTCTCCGTGGACAGACCGTCGTAGTACACCTGGCCTTCTGTGGTGACGCACCGCAGCAAGGCAAGGGTCAAGGTGCTCTACGAAGAATATCAGCCACAATACGATTAGCGTAGTGCATGTGTCCAGATACCTTTCCACTCCCGGTACGACCCACTGCCAAGGACCTGTCAGTGACTATCACCAGGTTCACCAGATGCGATCGTCTCACCAACACCCACACGCTCTCCAGATTTGATTTCGAACGAGATCTCGTGAAGTACTCGAGGACCATCCTGCAAAGAGCTTCAACGACAAGGTACATTATCCACGTCTCGAGACCTACTGCTGAATAGCGAGCGGAGAGCTTCTCAACCCTCAAATTGCCGCTTGACGGCCAGTACGCGGGAGGTATACCGCTCTCGGTTGACTTTGGCTCCTGTTCAATCTCGAGATATTGTTGTATGCGTTCGAGGCTGGTGCACAGACGTTTGATACGTCTCACACGCCATCGATATAAGGGACATACCTATTCCCTACGGTATATAATCGCATCAGCGTCTGGGAAGATGATCACGCGAATTAACCTGCCTGCGACCTCGAATTCGTTGAAAAATCTCGCAAACCACAGGATCATTGACCCGAAGCCAACTTGACAATCAAGGCGCTCAGTTATAGCACATAACACCTCGTCTCCGCGTGCATACCTGCCATATTGAGCGTGAAGCCTGTTTTGGATGCGGATGAACTACCACCCCCGTACACCAAATAGAAGGCAACCCCAGTGGAGAACATGGCGCCAAAGAGCTCGATACGAATGTTGACCCAGCTAATTCCATTAGTCTGGTTCGGGCTGCACATCATCTGACTTACTGAGTTAGGGCCCAGAATATCCTCGCAGCTCGTGAGTACTTGTCGATCCGTGCGTACGACTCCTTCCTGAAGGCATCCTGTACGCCGTAGGCACGGATAGACACTGCGTCCTTGCTTAGTCAAACGACGCAAGACGAGACTGCTACACTCACCAAGCCCGGCAAAGGCAGCTCCGAAATGTCCTAAGACTGGAGCACGCGCATTACTCTTCTCTCGCTTCACAGATAGCTGGGCCTTCATGTACACTTGACAGATATATCCTCCCGCAGCAGCGAGCAAGATGCCAGGAATGATATAGAAGGGTGCTGCGATTGTGACAGCCGCGAGCTTGATGAGCATGGTCATTGTCAGGATGATGAGGAAGTCCAAGCATGAATAGAGGTCCGAATCAACTGTAAAAGGAGGAACATTGGTATTGAAAATTCGTGAGCGATTACCGTAATGTACTTGTGCCAATATCTTGTGTGCATCTAGCAATCACGCGCCCAGTAGGCGTCTTGTCCCACCATCTGCACAAGCAGTGAGGAAGACGACAAGTAAAGCCAAAAGTCAATCACATCATGGTAGTCCCAAGAACCGATGTAATCAAAACTTTATGAATGACGCGTGAGGCCCTGAGACTGCCTACAAGGAAGACAACAGAATACAGAGAGAACATGATGAACCCAGCTAGAATGATCGATGCAAACATAGAAAGATGACTGCAAGCGAGTTAGATACGACGACCAATAGCGAACGGCACCGGCTCACAATGGCACATTCACTTCCCATGGAGGGTGTTCCTCGTATTGTCTTGCCCAAAACCCGAGATACCAGTAGGATAGGTTATCCAAGAACTCCGAAACGAATGCAATGCACAACGTGATTACACAATATAGAATGGGACGGCCTCCGCCCACACTCTTCAAAAATAGCTTCACTGCTGCCTTGTGAGTATCTGTTGGTGACTAGTGAGTGACGGTAGCACGTACAGGAGGACCATCCCAGATGTCCTTCGGATATCTCTTCGGAGACAACCAGTTTACCATGGGCTCTTTTACTATCGTCTCCAGATGAGCGATCCTGATGGATATTCTGCCCTGCCTTCTCGAGAAGCTCGAGATCTTGAGCTACTTCCGCAGCCAACATTTGGTCGTGCTCGAGAGCATTTGACAAAGTACCTTGGCTGGCGATCCGGCCATCGATACCCAAAGAAACAATGTGCTGCGCGATGGGTCCAGCCAAGCTTACGTTATGCGTCTGCGATAGTTTGTTGAAGAAACAGCGTTATGGACAGTTTCTTGATCGCTTACAACTAAGAGCACTGTCCGACCGCGGACTAGGTCACCTTGCAGACACTTCTCGACAATCCATTTTGTTGTGTGTACGTCCAGAGCAGCCAAAATCTAGACGATATTAGCCACACGCAAGTCAAAAAGTCAGGATGATTATTCACATCATCAAGTAGTAAGATCTCTGCGGTTGAGTAGATCGCGCGAGCTAGAGTGACTCGAGCCTGAATCGATATAATTCAGCGAGCAGCTCCATCATACTCTGCGATGCTTTACCTTTTGTCCGCCGCTGTGGAGTTGTAGGGAGTTGGCAGGGAGCCACGCGGAGACACAGCACAACGCACCTCAGTGTGATTCCCCTTTCACCCACTTCAGTATGATCCCTGGCATCGAATAAGTTAAGATCTCTCGTGAGACCGCATTGATTGATCACTTCGTTACGTGATCTCAACAACCATCATCTCAGGCACATAACAAACCAGGACAGACCTTTGTCGTAGCGTTCTCGGTCGAACGTCGCACCGAATAGTATATTATTCTAGCGATGAGCTTGTCAGTGTCATCAGCATATAACCCGATTTCTGACGCACCCGAATTGTATCGTTAAGCACCCATGATTCTTGAGCCGCATACGCAACTCCTCCGGAACGCGGCAGTGTCACAAAAGAGTCAGGTCCGGTGGGAATGTAATGCATCTCTCCTAACATTTGTTTGAGTTATTAGTGCAAGTCAAGAGAAGCCACAGCTAACCCAGCAGAGCCATAAGCAGCGATGTTTTTCCAGAACCCGTTGGGCCAACAATGAGATTGATGTGACCACTTTCAAATGTGAGATCGCCATCGATGCGAAGCGTAAAATTACGCTTCGACGACCTAGGAGTCGACGGAGGCGCCTTGGTCCAAGTAAATGAAGCATTACGAAAACCTAGAGTATCGCTCGACATCAATGGCGAGGATATCCCGAGTTCTAGTGCGTGAGTAGTCTGTTTCTCAGAGAATTTGTCTAAAAGTTCTGTCTGCGGAGAATGTCAGATTCGTGCCGTAGGAAGTCTGGGCTCGTACCTTCTGCAAGAACTCATTCATACGATCGAGTGA